TGTTCATTGGTTGAATTCCTATAATTCAAACTATAAATCATGTTCAGTTCGAACAACAATGTAATATAGTGTTTTTTTGTCATTAAAAGGGGTTGTTAGTTCTCTATAGCTATACCCTCTGGTAATTTAACATAGCTACGGAAGATCACTAATTTGTGCAGGTAAATCATCGAACTAAATGGGCCATCTATAGTTATAGCCATATAGCTATGTTAAATTACCAGCAAATAATTCCCATGTCAATCTCCCCATGTTAGATGGATAGATCCCTATTCATCACCATCAAATCCCTTACTCATCACCATGGAAATCCAACTAATTAAATCACAATAAAATCCCATTCAATCAACATCAAGTCCCATAAAATCCCATGAAAGCACCATTGAATCTGAAATCCCATGGATGGTGCAGGTCGGGGGCCTTCGGGGCCTCCGGAACCTCCGGAGCCTCCGGCAACGTCGATCCAAAGGTCCAACGAAACGTGGCTCGGCATGAAAGCACAGCCATTCCCAGATGATCCATGTAATGGATTATGGTATATTTACCTACAAAACTGGGTGATTTTTAGGGTAAATGATTCAAATGATGGGTAAATGTTGATAAATATGCCATAATTATCCATAATTACTGACAGATACATGGAGCATTTGGGATTGAATGTGGCCAAGCTGCCGATCTTGGACGGCATAGTCTGGCAGGCCTCGTGCTCGCAGCTCTCCCGCAGTGAACCGGAACCGGCCCAAGGCTGGTGACGAGAGAAGCAGCAGGGATGGAGGTTGACTGGTGGCTTCAGTGGGATTTGATGGTGATTTAATGGGATTTCCCTAGTGATTTAATGGGATTTCATAGTGATTTAATGGGATTTCATAGTGATTTAATGGGATTTCCATAGTGATTTAATGGGATTTCATAGTGATATAATGGTAAATCATTGGGATCTTCTGGTGATGAGTCGCGATCTAAGTAACAACATTGATCAAAAAAATGGACTACTTGGAATCGCCCTCTGGTTGGACATAGCACCGGAAAGATGGACATCAGCCGTTTTTTCATCAGCTTAGGGAAGCTGGTCAGGGTCCAAAAATCAGTTGGATTCATCCCATAAGATGAGGAAATTCCCTACCCTCTGGTAATTTGTTACATAGCTATTGAAAATTGCCATTTATAGTGGATTTTCCCATGAAAAATGGTGGATCTTTCCATAGTTATGTAACAAATTACCAGAGGGTACATCCACCATGGCTTTCTGGGGCTACTTTTCGGGCACTGCAAGAAGGGGCATCATATGGCATCATGGCAGAAGGGGCGGAAGTAGCTTGGGGTTTTCCAATGCTGCACACATCTGTACACTGTACATGGTCCTTTTTGACACGTGAACATGGCCAAAAGACGCTGGAAATGATTGGGGTATCACGGTATCACGGTTGTTTCAAATTGTATCCATAGTTTTATCATGGTTTATCATGTTTTATCCAAGTTTCAGAACTGCAATGAACTGCACAAACATGGGTTTGCCCAAATCCAGGGGAAACAAAAGATGATTTTGGGAGAGTGCCGAATATTCATCCAGCCCATATCCAAAGTGATCCCATCCTCTGATTAAACACCCCGATATGGGCTCAAGATGGCCCAATGAATATGTGCGGAAAACTGCACCATTTCATTTGGTGGTCTTTAACTTAACAATACCCTCTGGTTATTTAACAGAGCCATGGGTAAACCCAGGTAAACCATCTATAAATGGGCCATGTTCATCCATTTTCCATGGCTATGTTAGTCATAACCAGAGGGTATCCATATCCATCCGGTGGTTTGGAGGGGGTTGGAGCCATGGCTTTCTCAACATCTTTGGTCCAGGCCTTGAGCCGCGGACAGTCGCAGGGGTGCCCAAGAGATGTGATCCGTGCGTTGGTCCCACGATGTTTTTGATACTCCCCAAATGGGGATGGGTCAAAACCCTGGTACCTAGTGAACCCCAAAATAGCTGATAAATGGATGTAAATGGATGTTCATCCCCCTAAAAATGGTATGTATAGGTATTGATCCATACCCAAATCATCCAAAATCTGCATGTGTTTATGCAAGTTCATGCAAGTTCGATGTTCATGTTGAGACTAAAATGAACCCCACATTTTCAGACAAAACCATATGAGGTATTTTCTCAAACATATTTTTGGTGTTGCGTGTTTTTCGTACGGGTCTTCACGGGGCTCAACCAAGCAAAACATGTGTTTCAAACTGAAAGACAATGTTTTGTTCAGGAGCAGAGGAGATGAGGTCCTTGTTCCTGGTCCGGACCAGGATGTGTTGTTGTGTTGTTCAGGCTGCAGCAAATTGACCCTGATTTGCCCTATCTCACTTGCTTCTTACAAATGATTGAAATTTCGACACATTGATTGGTATGAAAAGGCTTGGGGGGGGGGGGCAGGTCGTGCAACAAATGCGGGCCAAGGATAGAACGTTTGAGACAGTCAGGAACCTATACGGTTTCTGTCACATTTGGTGGCATGTGTACAGTACATTTTGCATTTGAGGTGTCCCTTGTCCTGCTGTTGTTTGCTGTTGTGACGATTGGGAAATTGATTTCAATGTAATTATGTATGTTATTTTTGTTTGACTTTTTGCCAATCTGAAATTAGTTGATTGAGGCATACCAGAGCTTCAATCGCACGAGTAAGTGTCGGGGAACCCCAGTGTGTTGGTGTTCCTCCCAAGGCACACTGAGTTGACATGACAAAAAATGCCAAAAAATGAAACAATCAAAGATAGGATTGAAATCATCCCTGAAGTCAAATTGATTGATTTTTTTACAGAATATATATATATATATTATATATCTACACTACACTGTGCTGTTTGTAAAGAGATCCAAAGAGAAACAAATTTTGGGTACACAAGTCTCGAACTGATCGCAGTGCCAGCCAAACCGAAATATGTTGGCACGTCCCGCTTCAGTCCGCTGGCTGGCGAGCCAAACGCAACGAGCGTCCGTGACTTTGTGATGCCTTCGCACCGAGTGCTACGCGTCTCAATTTGTCCCTGACAATGGAAAATCCTATTAAGATGGATGATTCGGGGGTACCCCCATTTATAGAAACCACATGATATCGTCTCATGAAACAATCAATTTGGGTATCTTTTAGATTTAGTCTAGGAATGTAAGGATACCAGAATATTTGTATCAAACACTAAGAACCATGAAGATTTATTGGCACTCTGAAACAAGGTGAAAGAACAAGAATTTTCGTGGTAGCCATCAAGAAATGATATGAAATGATGATGTATTCAGCAACAATTCCACTCTACACCCGCACAGAATGATCCCTGCATGATAGTCACTTCTTGCAGCAAGAGGTTGCACGGTGACACCAAGATCCCGCTGGTGGCAGATGTCTTGCACCATTTAATGATAAAACATATGATTTGTGAGATGTTGTATCCCTAAGTGGTATAAAATGTATAGGAGTATAGGAATTCTGTCATCAAACAAATATATATATATATATATGTATATATAAATATATATATGTATATATATATATATCAAATGTGCAGAAAATTAAAGCAAATGATGGTTGAAATCCCGCAGTTATTTACAACCTCTTTTGCAACTGGGTTAGGACGAACCTGCGGGATCAGTACAACTACGGCTGGAAAATTTGGGCTCACCTGTGAGGTTTTTCATTACCTTATTCAGTGAACCAGAGAAAAGACAGATTTGAAATATATTGAAGGTGTTCCCTTCTGTAGAGGGGCCAAATCACAGGTTTTAATTGGTGAGCCAAATTGCATTTAAGTTGCCGCATGGTCCCCATGCGGCGTCAAAGAAGGCGAACCTTGTGTGGGCTGGGGTCAGGAACTTCATTAAACAAACTGTCGGGGTACAGCCAAAACCTACAGAATGATCTGGACAGTTTGGCAATGTATGGCCCCTTAGCCTCTAACAAAAATACATAAAAATACAAAGACGAGAAGATGATCTTCCATAAAATAAAACAAAAAAACAATAATTGATAAGCAAATATAAGCAATAGTATTGCAAATGCAAAGCCAGTTTGTAGAGCTAAGAATCTTATTATCCAGTCTTACTTTGCCCTCGCCTTGTTGGATTTTTTGCTAGCCATTTTGGGTCATTCCGCGGCATGGCATGACCTACAACCTGCACTAAAGCTAAATCTGGCAAAACGGTCCTTAAATTTTTTTGTGCCCCCGCCAATTCCACAAAATGGCTGTCCCCGATCCCAGTTTTTGGCATAGAACTTTTTTTTTTCACTTCATACAGGGGCGACCTCATTCATTCTATGCTGGAAATGTCCAGGGTGTGATTGCCTGAACCCCCCTCATACTTCCGCCTTCGTGGACGGTTCAGAAATGCTCAGAATGATTTATTTTCCTGGAGCAAACACGATGCTTTGACGGCGCCCGGGACACTGGCTCATTCAGCATTGGCAGCTGAGCCGGCACCTGACAAGAAACATGGCCAAAGGAGTTGGCCCTGGCATAGACCAGAACTGAAAAGAACGACAACACACGTGACTAAAGTGGTTTGCAACACGGTAACATCAAACCATTCTGTGTGGCATGCCATTTTCAGTAGTTATAAAGATATGTGTGTGTGTGTTTTCCGTAAGACCATAAATTGGAGTGATCAATGAAAGAATGCAACTTAATAATGAAGGTTATGTATCGTATAGTTTACTCAATATATAGTGGTATTGTATTTTGCAGTACATCTTAAAATATCTAATAATCTCCAATATATCATAATATATCACAATGTGTTGTTTTGTCAGAATATCAGAATACATCTCACTCACAATATGGGGTTTTCCTAAAATGGGGGTACCCCTAAATCATAAATTTTAATAGGATGTTCCTCTAGAAACCATCCAGCTATTGGGCACCGCCATTTATGGAAACCACCATATGGGTTTTGAACATGGGCTATCTCAAATCCATATTGGTTAACCATCATATTTTCCATGAACCATGGCCATTAAATGGCGGGCCGACGACTTCCGGTGTCTCGGCATCGGGCAGGGGGTCAAAGGTGGACATGTTGTTCGGGGGATTTGATAGGGATAATATTTTTATAATACATGTGGAAAATCAAATCAAATCAGCAGATTATAGGATTTGTTTTGGGATTATATGATTTACTATGTATGTTCGTCGGATTTACCATTATGTACCCTGCTTTACCGTCCTCCAAACGAACATAGATTGTGGAAAACCAACAATTTGTAGATTTTGTTTGACCATTTTCCTATAGGGAAAACCAGAAACCATGAGTTTTCCACATCTATGTTAATTTAACCTAACTAGGGTACCATCCAGTGGATAAGAGGGAGCTAAGAAGCTATGGTTATTTATCTATCTATCTATCTATCTATCTATATATATATATGTATGTATATATATATATATATGTAATATTCCCTACTGTTTCCCAACCACATGGTGGGCTAAGCAACCAGAAATTGGATTTTTTTTCTTGCAACTTGAGAATTACTTTGAGTGCCGTGTGCAAAACTCAGCGGGATAGTTTACAACGAAATTTGACTGATAGCATTGTGAGTTTAAGTGACAGCTAAAATTTGGTTGACCAGAAATATTGTATGCCCTAGTTTATCGCCACATTGATGGTAACAAATGGTGAAAGTCCATTGTTGTTTGTTCCATGAAAAACAGATGGTTCCTGTGAATGTCCCACAGACCAATAGTGCTGCAAGGGGCGATCCCAAGTATTGAGCGGCTTCTCCAGCCACAACTGCAGGTAGGGCGTTTAGAGAAATGGGTTGATTTGAACATGGGATACCTGATGATACCCGTAAATTTGTCACCTATTGAAATGGCCATTTGGAGGTATACCCCATTTTCTGACAATTACCAAAGTTGATATGTAGATGTTTGTTGGGGAGTCGTGACACAGCCTGGAGCTGCAGTAGAACCAATATAGATTGGGTAGTTATGCAACATATTTCATACATTGAGTTAGTTTGATTAATTGAATGTCAGAGTATTGTCAGAGTAGTCATCCCTATTTTAATAGTAGCACTTCCAATCAAAGTATTATAGCTGGTTGGTGGTTTTAAATATTTGTTTCCATTTCATATATGGGATGTCATCCTTCCCATTGACTAATATTTTTCAAGATGGTTGAAACCACCAACCAGGTAGGAATTTCCTTCTGAAATGGAGAAATTCAACATGGGTGGGACTCGGTGTCTTTTATATTTTGTCAAGATGGTTAAAACCAATCATTTCTGGTTGGTGGTTTGGAACATTTGGATTATTTTTTCCATATATTGGGAATAGTAAACCCAACTGACTTTCATATTTTTCAGAGGGGTAGGTATACCACCAACCAGATTTTATATTTCAGGGTCTTCCAACTCGACCAGCCGCAATCCACAACATCGGCTCCGCCAAGGAGTTGCATCCGTGCTTACTTAGACGATCGAGTCCGGGAGGCCGTGGCGCAGTGGCTGGTTTTTTAAATGTGTTTTTCATGTTTCATGAAAGTTTCATGGCTAAATCTATGCTAAAATACAGATTAATTGAGTTTTTGAATGGTGAATCATAGATTCCTAGATGTACACACACACAAACTCGACTGAACATGTTTTCCTCCCGTTTGCCTTTCTGATTGTTCATCGAATCGCCAAATTCAAGTTTCTCAATGGTTTTCTTCCATTTTGCATCCATCTCCACCCCAAGTTTGGCCATCAATCAGGCGATGGCAAAGCAACTGGCGAGAAGGTGCCGATCCAGTTGACTATTCTGTTGATACACCCAATGCCACAAACCTCCAATGGTTTTATTGTTGGGGCCCAAAGAATGGGTGACCTCATAGATTCCAGGTGTCATGGGGTGCATCCCGGAAAAACCTTAAGGCCTTACAGCAACATCCCAACCCCACCCGGGGTTAACAGGCGAAGGCTGGAGCCCAGATGCCGGTGCTGAGGCGGTGACTCAGGAAAACTATGCATGGTTGTTCATATTAATCTGTATTTTAAAGGCGCGGCGTAAATGTATAATGGCTATAATACATATATAGATATATAATTTCGTTGTATTAAGATTATTAAGGAAACCATCCATGTTTGATCATGTATAACCATCAAATATATGCCCAAATCGGTTGAAGCGGTAGAGACTATGGCCAGATGGGACTTGATTGGGTATCAAGTGTGTGGTCATTAGGGGGCCAAGGCACCCACAATTGTCCTCGAAGATCTTCATTGATTTGAAACTTGAAAGCAGCCATTTCAAACACCCAAGTATTTTTTGACATGTTCCTGGGTTTTGTTTGGTAACGAAGGATCAAACTATATCCGTGAATCTTCCGAGATTGATAATTTTCAAACATCCTGCTTGGTAGTTTCAAATAGATGTTTGAACAAAAATTTGGGATGTCTCGACATTTTACATGTTCTTGAAATGTTTGCTCACTCATTGTTTGGACTTGACCCACAGATATCCCAAGCAATATCCTAAGCAAGTCATTTTTGGACGAGCACCATAGGGTGAGGATATTGAGAGATATTATATATGTGTGTATATATATATATATGCATGACACCTCCAAGTTGGCCTCCAAGTACTATCACAGTATGAATGATTGAGAATGAATTGCTGGGATAAGCTGTTCCTCCAAGTAGCAGGCCTTCGCGCTCCGATGGCAATTTGGGTAAAGAGGCTTGGCATTGTGCTGGCACATTTGTCGATAGACAACAGGTCTACTAGTCTGTGAATACGAATGGAAGTAGAACCGGTGGGTTCATATGTACGGTATTCATTTGTGGAAAGATAGTATCATTATCATGTATGAATATATATATATATTATAGTGCTGTGTTTTTGCTTCTGGGTGTCCCGTTCCTGTCTGTGGGCATGATGCATGTAAATGACAAGCAAATGGTCCGCCGACTGCTGTTAATTGGCCATGGACCGTATCCACCAAGCCTTACCTGAGCTAAAATCCTTTCTGCATGTCGATGAATATATGAGTCATATGAGTCAGAATTTACCCAACTCTCCCCTGGGTCAGTGGCATATAACCATAAACTGGAATACCGAGAACATTTGATCATACCATGCATTCATGAAGTCCTGCCGTCAGGCTAATGACGGTACAGTTCCTCAAAAATCATTCTGACCTCAAACAGTCAGGATGATGAAACCAGTACTATGTATAGAAAAGATGATGGGGGCGTTGTTTGATGTTGTTTGTTTTAAGGTGTCTTACACCAACTTGGGTGTCCTCAAACATAGTTACCAATCTGAAAAAAACGTGGAAAATCCAGGCACAGATCCGATCGGGCAAGCAGAGGCGGAACAGCCGGAGCCTGATTTAACCAACCCACCGAAGTCCGATCCGAAGAAAATGGAAGTTGAACCTGCAAAAAAAATGTGATTTGATGACCGTGATTGACCCTCTGGTAATTTAACGTAGCTATTGAAAATGACCATTAATAGTGGATTTTCCCATTAAAAATTGTGATTTTCAATAGCTATGTTAAATTATGTTAAATTACCAGAGGCTAACATGATTCAACGATTCAACGCACCAAAAAATCCAAAAATGTGATGATCTAAAGTTGAGAGCAAAAAAATCGGGTTAAGCCCCGAACAATGCTGGGTTCAGATGAGCTTATCAACAACAATGGCCATGAAGCTGGTCGATTTACCATAGCTGAGACATCCACAGTTATCCCAACTATAAAAGTGGCCACCATTTGCAGTAAATCCCTCATTTTCTAATGGCTGCTTGTGCAGATCGGCACACCCCCATAATGTTTGTTGATCAACCCCTATATTCGATTGGTGATAGAATATATCCCATAAACTGTCTCCCAATTTTATCCATGGTTGTTTTTCAACTGATGGGCGAAATCAGCTGCCCAAGGTGGAAACGCTGCTTCTCCCTTGCTCCCAGGCTCCGAGAAGGTGCTTTCGACACATTTTTAAAGCCCTTTTTTGGATGGGGGTTGTAGGTCTAAAGTCATGGGGTTTTGTCATGCCATGGTTTTGGTCATGTTTGCTTCCAACCCATTTGGGGGGTTCCATAAATGGGGATACCCACAAATGCATGGTTTATAAGGGAAAATCCTATTAAAATGGATGATTTAGGGGTACCCCCATTTTAGGAAATCTCCATGTTGTGTTTGTTTTAATTTAGCCCTGTGTGAAATGGTGTTCCATGATGTTGTCCATTGTATCATGCTGTAATTGCCTACATCCAATTATCGTTTGCTTCTAAATATCCATCTTTTCAGCCAACTTCCGTGCATCCATGTTTCTCAAATCAGTTGGTCCAGAAAAACCCATCCACTATCGCTATATCCCTAGTCAACCCTAGTTAACGAAACTTATATAAGTCAACTTAGCTATCATGAATCAGCCATAAATCTCATGGAATCTCTGTTTTTTTTGTTGGTTAAATCACCAGTGAAACCATGTCCACATGTTTCGTCTCTCCCAGCGGGCGAGGCATCCAGATCACCGTCGCCAGCTCCAAGAAGGTGGGTCAAGTTATTGGGGTGCCTTGAAAATCGATGGTTCATTATATGGCTATGGGTCAATACCTATAGATACCATTTTTAGTGGGATGAACATCCATAAATCCCAGCTATTTTGGGGTTCACTAGGTACCAGGGTTTTGACCCATCCCCATATATATATATTAATACCCTAATATAACCAATGACTAGTGGTCAAAGTCAATAATAATGGTATCATTACGGTATATAATGGTTAATGGTTAAATAAAATCTAATGATACTAGTGTTAATAATGGTTAAAAGTTAAAACGTAGCCTAACGATACAAGTGATACTATGATACATACCCTAATGATATTAGTGTTAATAAACTAATTGAGCCATACTAAAATATGTTAACTAATATATAATGTTACTATAGACTAAGCCATGTGTTTAATACCCTGAATCTTAACCCATTCCCATCTCTCTAAAGCCATAGATGATGTGTCCACAGTCTGTTGATCAACATCCCCATGGCATCCGGAGCCGGATTCCCCAGGCGTGCCCGCAGTCGCGGCGAGGCACTGCCATGGCCATCCAGATCCTTCATCCTATGGCAATTTTGACCCATGACATCTAGAGTAGTAGAGTAGTAGAGTAGGATACTTCTTACATAGAACTAGACAGACAGCGAGAGAGAGAACCAGACCGGGAGTTGTGAACAGTCGTGTTTTCCCAGGAAGTCTTATATAGATCTCTTTCGATATCTCATCAGACCCACAGGTGGCCCTGGTGGAAGAGGTTCCTGGATTGCAGGCGCGGTGGCGCAAAAGCAGGATATGTATGGCTGGATATGTTGCCAAAAAATTGGATGACAAACATCTCCAGCTTTCCCTGAGGTCTACGCTCTGGTAAACTAACATAGCTGTTGAAAATGGCCATAGAAATAGTTGATTTACCCGTTAAATATGGTGGATTTGTCCATAGTTTTTCTGCGTTTACCAGAGGGTTTTTGTTATACCCAATTTTTCTTTAATGGACCTAACTTGGGGCGGGTCTTATCCCCCATCCTTCGGGCCGAAACACCAATGGACGGGGAAGGAAGCCTTTCGGAAGATCTGCGGCAGCCGCGGGGAAGCTAGTCCGAGGGCCAAGCTTTGCCATCGGGGAAAAGTTGGAAAAGCGGCTCCAATTTGAGGGTTTCATCATCCTAAAATGGGGTACCCCAATAGCTGGATGGTTTATTTCATGGATTTGTTATTAATTAAAATGGATGATTTGGGGGTACACCCATGTTAGGACGCGGATTTAAGATATGGTGGACCCCACATTGAAGAACTATGGCGATAGATATGTGTTTTAAGATATGGGGATGGGTCATGGGTCAAGACCTTGATTGTCCATACATGTCCATACTCTACATATATATATAATCATCTACAGTGTATATATATATATGTATATGTATATAATTATAGAGGCATTGTGATGTTGAGACCTGCATCAATGCTGGCTGCTGAAAAACTAGGTGCTTTATAAATGCTTCGCCTGTTGAACATCGGGATTTTCCATAGCTATGGCCATGTTACCAGAAAGTACCATCTGGTTATGTCAAAATAGCTATTGAAAATGACCATTTATAGTGGATTTTCCCATTAAAAATGGTGATTTTCCATAGTTATGTTAAATTACCAGAAAGTAATGAACGTACTTGGCTTAGAAATGTTGTTGTGGTCTGCCCCCTTTTTGGACGCCAGGCAGTAATATGATGTAATATTGCTATGTCTCAAAATGGGCGACACCGAAACCCCCATGGCTAAACCATGATTTTCCTTGTTTTGCCAAGTATTTGATTCAAATGATTTCATCACCCATAAATTATGACGCAGTTTGAGACAAAGACAACTGCCCCATTCCATGGCCACGAATTGGGTGTAGATCTCCAATCTGCTGTTTAAGTATGTTTAAACATTTTTGGAGGGTTCCATAAATGGGGGTACCCCTAAATCATCAATTTTAACGGGATTTTCCCTTATAAACCATCTATGGAAACCTCCATTTATTGATATGTATTGCTTATAGCTACTTACTACTTATATAGAGATTCCCCCATTTCGATCTCATTTCAGTACCGCCGACTGAGGCATGGATTCACGTCAGTTCGACAAGTTTTGTCGGGAGGCGGGCTACATGGATAGCAAGTTCGGGAGACTCAGCTCCAACGATTGGTGACTGCGGTGATGGGTCCTTCCCTTCACTATAAATTGCCATTTCAACATGGCAAAACCTCTGGGAAATGATGATAAACCATTGAAAGTTTAGGTGGATGTTGAATAGGACATATGAAGCCCTTGGAAAAAATCGTATCTATATCAATATATGATCAATATGGATATGCCATAAACATCCATAAACTCCTAAGCCATGGCAGCCGTGAATGGCGAGCCCTCATGAAATGTGGCCAGATATGTGAGTCGTTGGCTCGGCGTGGCTACTCTGGCTTTACGGCATTAAACAAATGATACAGAAACTCTGGAGTAATAAGACTATATAATATAACAATATACTCAATATATAACATAATATACCATATAATATACATCATTGTGTTAGCAATATCAATAATATATATATATATATATGATATACATTTAATGACCACATGAATGCCTACAGCCTCTGCTGAGGTTTACGACTGCAGATGCCGATTTGTTGTTCACCACTGTGACGTCGCTTGGTGGAACCATTCGAGCTCATGAAGCCACTGGTTGGACATGCATTTTGACTACTGCCAGTATTTGCCAGTACCGGATAGAACTATGATATACTATTATGATATGGTGTAATAGAGGGACATATTAGTGTATATATAGATATATATATATATAACTACATGCTTTTCATGCAGCATGTGCAACTACGTCATGATTGGCTAACCCATAGGATCCATGTATGCTATATATATATATATTATATATGGTAACATTTACCATCAATATACCCCATTCATGTTAGCATATATACCATACATGGATCCTATGGCCTCTGAGGGGACGCGGCTTGCGGCGCCTGGGTGCCCTTCACTTTCAATCCGCCTTGAGGCAGGGGACCCTGGGGATGGATATTTAGTTGCCTATGAAACGACCATATTTTGGGGAAACATCCAGCAGCTATGACTTTTTTTTGGTACCCTCTGGTAAACTAACATAACTATGGAAAATCACCATTTATAGTTGATTTTCCCATTAAAAATGGTGCTTTTCCATAGCTATGTTAAATTACCAGAGGATACCGGTTTGGGTGGGGTTTTCACAAATTGCCGAAGATGTCCGACACTAACCTGTCATGCAGGTCAGGGTCCATGGTGGCCAGGGGTGTGTGAAAGATGTAAAGTGCTCGGGTCCGTGTGTACAGGTGATTAAGTCTGGTGTGTTTTTGGCAGATGCCCAAGCCAGGAAAAGGCGCTGGAGTGACATAGCTATGGAAAACGATCGATCCATTTATGCCATCGATTTACCCATCGATAGCTATGTTAAACCACCAGTTGGTAATGGGATATTTCAACCAGCATGGGAAAAGCATGCCTTTCAAAAATGAACGGTTTCTTATATACAAAAAGCAGGATGTCCTTAAAAGGGCCCTATAATTATAGATATACAATGTACAATTATATATATATATATATATTATACTATATATATATATAATTATACATATATATATAATTATATTATGTTGTATGAATCCATGGTCCTTGGTTTTCAGCGCCCCTTAGATTCCCAGCTTCGATGGTTTGCCCCCCACGGTGCCATTTCGGAGGCTGTTGGCGGAACGAAAGCGTTTGCCCATGGATCAGGTTTGTGCCAAGGCGATGCAAAGTGCTGTCGCTGTTGGCAGATTCTGGATAGGTAGATCGACTATTCATTGATCTACCCTCTGGTTATGTCAAAATAGCTATTGAAAAGGACCATTTATAGTGAGTTTTCCCATTGAAAATTGTGATTTTCCATAGTTATGTTAGTTTACCAGAGGGTAAATTGAATGAACATGAAACAGATAGAATTTGATGGAATGAGATATATAATTCTAAATTTCTGAACATCTCATGGAAATAGAATGAAATAGATAGATGGATGGATAGAAGAAGTTGTGGAGGATAATATATAATATTATATTTGTGTGTAATCCAATTGGATCACCGTTGTTGATAGAGAAAATTCGACCTCAGGTGAGACGACTCGCTGAGGCGGAGGAGCGGTCGGAGCCCTGGAACCAGTGAACCATGCATGAAGCATGTGCTTATATGTGTTTATGTGAAGTGGTCTTTGGATGTCTTCGGTAGATTTATATAATATATTTTGATAATGGTCTAATGATGCTTAGTGGATTGGGATCGCAGGCGGATTTGTTGTACCACACTAGTGAACCAGTCCATTTATCGAGCACAGAGTTGCCAAACGGTGATTCTCCCAAGCAGATCATGCATGTAAGTTTTACCCAGTAATCGTGGGTGTGTTAATTTCAAAGGAGAGACTGATATGCCATCACTTGCCGTGGATTTAAGGGTATATTTAACTGCAAAAAAAGACGTAAAAACAGAAAAACACTACAATCCTACTAAAAGAGTGATAAAGTTAGGCTAATTTATATTGGCGACGGCGTTGCGGGGCGTTCATTTTTGTTGAGGTCGCGTCCACCTGTGGCGGCTGTGCCACCGGGTTGGGGGGACCAAAGGATCCAAAGGATTCGGAAAGATTGGTTGGGACCACTGTTGAGGTTTTACCCTAGAATTAACCATTCATTTTGTGGATTTAGGATATATAGGGATCCCTAAAACATAGAGAAGAATGCACCATAAATTCTTCATGGAATGGATCAAGACCTCTTCAAAGTGCTGATTTTCCCTCCGCTGTTGAAGGGAAGTGATGACTTAATCTCTAGCTGGATATGGGTCAAAAATGAATGGTGTAGCACTTGGACCTGCAAGATCGATCGTTTTGAGAATTGAAACCATCCATTTTGACCCATACACAGGTAATACCCTTTGGTAAACTCGCTATCGAATCACCATTTTTCATAGGGAGTGGAAATAGGCTACTTTCCATAGCCATGTCAGTTTCCTGGAGGGTAATTTTTGTGGGTAGTTAAATCATGTTAAATCCCTATGAATCACCATAGAATCCTATTAAAATCCCACTAACATCCTGCCAAACAAAGGATCCTGGGTGGTGGGGATAGGCCGATAGGCGGTGCGGATGTGCCTGGATTTGCTGCTCTTTGGTATTGATCCATATTCCAAGAGTTATTATATAATACTTAGCATATGAAAATACAAGATCAAAAAGAAGACATTGTGAGCAAATCGATCTTGCTTTACTTATGGTATACTTATGGTTTATGTTGGTTTCCATGATTTCAATGGAATACCGAATGAACAAACGGAACAAAACCAGTCCCTGAGTTGGAGATTTCAATCAGCGAAGCTTCACGAGGCAACGACTCGGCCATGTCCACAGCCCAGGAATATCCCAGATCGCCCTGGATGGCAGTGGAAGTACAGTGGATTCGCGATGTCTAGATTGTTATAGTATGTTAATGTATGTTATAGTTATGTATGTATATATAATGTATATATAATGTATATATATAATGTATATATATATAATAATAATATTATATAATTACATATACATATATTTGGGTGAATTATAACGACCTCACTGCGACCTCACTGGAATGATGGTGAGTAGGGGAAACAATAGGGAAATGATCCCCAAGGTAGCCTAACATTCAGATTAGTGAAATATGATAATCTAATCCAGATATATACACAGTGTTGACTGTTATTTTCGTGATTATTCCACACGTATTTGATTTATGTATATTAATATATAGATATATTGTGATTATTGTCATTGATCCGCACATATTTAATATTTTATTTGAGATGTTCTATACACATCCATTTGACTCGAAAACTCTGCCATCGGTTAAACTGTCCATTCATCCTGGCCACCGAGGGTGCCCTGGAACGAGGAGGTAAACTGTCGTGGAAGGCCGTCATCCCATGGGGGTTTTCCATAGGTTTCAAGACTCAAATGATCTGGTAATTTTGGATGATTTGGGGGACCATTTGGGGTACCCTCTGGTAAACTAACATAGCTATTGAAAATGACCATTAATAGTGGATTTTCCCATTAAAAATGGTGATTTTCAATAGCCATGTTAGTTTACCAGAGGGTACCTCCATTTTCGGAAACATCGGAAACCACCCATATTTGGGGGATGGGATTGCTATGATTCCTCAAGTGCTTGATATGTTTCTGTGCTAATCGATGTTTCACTATTCTAATAGGAAGGGAGCACAGACAGAGAGAAACAAGATTTGGCATAATTTTGCTGTTGGTTGTCCAAGAAACCTAACAGGTGATTTTGACCGATACTTCCACCATCTTCCACCATTTTTTGCTGTTGCTTTGATATCCACGGTTGCAAGTTGGAAGTATGGGTCAAAACTGGTCCAAATCACCGTGTGACCAATCTGTGGTTTTCAAACTGGTTCCTGCTGCAGCTTTCCATCAATGAAAAGCATGGATTTTCCATGATGGTTCCATGTACCCTCTGGTAAATAAACATAGACCCTGAAAATCACCAATTGTTAATGGAAACTAATCTTCCAAATCCTACCTGGCAGGGTCTATGTTAATTTACCAGGGGGTAGCTTTTCATCTCCATACATGGAAAATCCCCATCATCTGCAAATATCTGCAAGCCATTCATGGCGATGGGTCGGCCCGCCATCCGCAGGTCCTCTCGCGGTGTACGCAGCTCCTCCGAACCAGCTCCCCGGGTGGCCCGGCCAAGGGCTGGAGATGCTGGAGATGGGAGGTTTTTACCATCACGGGTGAATCCTTGGGTTTTTGGGGAAAATGACATGATATTCCTATAGTTTAACATATGTTTAACCATGATCTGTGGGTTTGTAAGGGAAGAACTGGGCTTTCGCCAGCAACTAAAAATCCTTCGTTTTTTTTTTATATAATCTATTCTGATGTGTTTTTAAATGGGATATGACTTGGTGACTTCTAGGTTTTGAGGGGATAGAACTATCGTATTCAGCTGGGCGGTGAGGTGGATCGGGAAGCTCTAGAAATGATCATTGCAAGGGGATATGACTAGCCAACTTCACATGACTAGCCATCTGGTTATATCTGGTTATGACTAACATAGCCATGGAAAGATCCACCATTTTGAATAGGTAAATTCCATCTATTTCTATGGGTCATTTCCCATGGCTATGTTAAATAACCAGATTGTATCTGAGATTAATTGGGTCTGAAAATGATAAAAATACCTATTTTCAAGATGTTCCTTTAACCAACATTGATTTTTAGAGGTCCCAACATTGATTTTTTTCCTGGACTGTCTAGATGATTCTTATCCTCAATGTGATCCAGAGACTTCATGTAGTTTTTGTGGCGGTTTATGTGGCGGTTTATGTGGCGCCATCCAGCCGCTCTCAGGGTTGGTTTTATCCTCTGGACAACGGTTGCTGTTTGAAGCGGAACCGTCGGGGAAACTCAGCGAACTGGAGCGGGCCGGAGCTGGCGGCCTTGTTCGTTGCAGCTTGATGATGTCCGTTGCTGTGTGTGTCATTCAAATCAGAAGATTGGGTAAATTCCTCCCAAAAACTTTGGATGAACACACACACACACTATATATATATATGATTATATGATTATATGTATATATATGATTATATGATTATATATATGTTATTATATGATTATGTATATATATATATGATTATATGATTCTATATATATATGATTATATGATTATATATATATGGAAGTTTCTTGAAATAGTGGTACCCCCAAATCATTTGTTTTATTTTCGGCTTGTCCATGAAACAAAGCATCCATTTTTATGGGGTACCCCATTGCCATTTTTTGTGCTTGGAGCCTTGAGAGAGAGGTTTCGCTTGACTTCATAGTTCTAACTATGTCAATATCCGGATGAAAATTCAATTCTCTATATAGTTATAATATATCATATTATAAAATATTGCTTAATATGTAGTAATTACTAATATTATAGATATAAGTCCAGGAATTCTACCATGCCCACTTGATCCCTGACAGATACTGATGGCGTGGATGGAGCCGAGTCAGAGCCCGACACCTGGTACCTGGTGATCCCCCAATTCTTTGCAGCATTAATTGATAATGGGTCATCATTCTAGACTATTCATGATGTTCAATGTTTCTTTTTTGATCATGATTGATGATGCATGATGATGTTAATGACTTTAGACAATTTTATATAATGATTAATTATTGGTGATTACTAACCCATAGGATCCATGTATGCTATATATGGTAACATTTACCATCAATATACCCCAAATGTTAGAATATATACCATACATGGATCCTATGGGTAATGACACTAGTTGATGATTCTTGATGCGTATAGATGATTGATGAGTCTCAATATGTCAACCCGATGCCATAAACCATCCCCATCACCGTAAACGGCTGGTATGAACCATGCCCAAATGGTCGGTTTATGGCATTGGGTTGCCGGCATTACATACTTCAGCCATATTACCATATATTTGCATATGATCCATTGATCTTTTGTGGCATTCCACATATGAAGAAGCACCAAAAGTCTTTATTTGTGATTGCAACGGCAACAGCCGACCAAGCCCCCTGATTTTTTTGAGAGGGGGAACCAACTTGTTTCATAAAAGTTTTCAGAGGCCAACATGTTATGTTGGAGCACATTTATAATCATTTACAATTCAGACAGTTGATGGAATGGAAGATTCCTCAGAATATGCATTCAACCTGAATTGGGAATTCTCATGGGATGGGATTGTTTCAAGCGCTCCAGACGTCAACCTGTTGACTTTCCAGTAAACATGGACCAAATCCCTTTCAGACCATGGGTTACAAAGGAAGAGAGATTGAATTACTGCCAATCGTTCAGTTGAAGCCTTCAATCTTACTTCTATTCCATGTTTCCAGAGCAGACTTGACTGTGGACCACATCTACACAACAGGTTGCTGATGGATAGCTTCGTCTCCTTCTGCTGGGTGCGCGTCTTGTCGTATGCCCTTCAGGATGTTGTCGATTGTTGATCCCTTAGGCGCTAGGAAAGAATCGAGCAGTGAGCAGTGACCAGTTGAACCTGGTTGATTCGTTATTGTATCATTATGTGGGCATGGGTCAATACCTATAGATACATTTTTAGTGGGATGAACATCCATTTCCAGCTATTTTGATGTTCACCAGGGGTACAAGGTTTTGACACACTGCCATGTGGATTAATCATGATTAATCTATATTAATTTGGTAAACCACATGCCATATAAACCATCCCCAAGTCATCACCTGGCTTCGTGGGAACTGCTGCTGCCGATACTTTTTTAATGCGGCCAGGGCAAACCAGACATGAGCAACCGCGACTTCCTTCGCCTCTGCATCTCGGTGAAAAAAGCTCTGAAAGTCGCGACGGGATGCGATGCTGGGAGATGGAGGGGTTGGATGGTGATGGGGGGGTAGATGATGTTGACCAAAAAATATTATCATGGTGAGGATGATGATGATGATAATTATAATGATAACAATAAAATGTAACAATAAGATGATGATGATGGTGATGATGGTGATGATGGTGATGATGGTGATGATGGTGATGAGTATCCAGAGATCTTCAGATGAGGATGGCTGTCTTGCCAGTTTTTTCCACAAGGCGCAGGGGCAGATGTTGGCCTCGTTTCCCGAGGCCGCGATTGCCATTTGCTGAGCAACAGGCCATTTTGGTCGGATCAGAATGGGTTGCCCCATGGGTTGCCCCGCCTTAAAATGGTTGGATAGATCGGATAGATAGGAAAAGGAGGGAACTGATGGTGTCCAACACCCCAACTTTGACCCATCCACATCTTTGATTCACAAGTCATTTTTGTGATCAGCAGGGCCATTTGCATCGGTGATCATCATACGGGAAAGCCATTGCTGAGCCCACAGAGTTAGATGCAAAGCCTAGGGCCCCTGCATTGTTCCTGAACAAATATTGACATGAAGTCTGTTTAGATGATGTGCGGAAACACAGCTGCCAGCGGACTGCTTTTGTAAGGTCAAGCAAATTCTGGTCGACATAGATCATAGCTCAGCAGTGTTAGCTGGTTCCGTTCCACCCATTTGGTGATTGCTCAAGAAGTAAAAGTCCTCAAACGTCCTCAAACAGTTCAACACCAAATGACAGCCATTTGAAATTGTAGATAGTTATACAGTAGAAGTTATAGATTGTAGAAAGATTGTAAAATCATGTAGAATCTACATAATTCTACAATCTACAACTTCAAATGGCTGTGTTGTAGATGGGTTTTGCTTCAGCTTTCTGTAGAGGTTCACCGCTTTGGACGCGGATCTCCTTTTCACCAAGGTGGGCCAGTGGGCAGTGCCTCTGAAAGCCTGATTGATCAGTGGTTGAGTGGGGGTTTAACCAGTTTTTTCTAGGGTTTAATTTAAAACAAAAACAATCAGTAATTTAAAAGACTAATGGAATATTATATAATATTATATATATAATGAGTTCACAATAATGATTTTGTTTGTTTTTTGACTATGAAACATGGGGGTTATAGAATTGATAAATGATGGTTGCTTGATGATTGTGGGGGGTTACATTACTTAGTTATACACATGGAATTTCTATAACTATAACCCATGAGTGGAACAATGCGGGAACCCCTATAAACCAGCCGGCACAATCGGGATGGATGATACGAATTTGCACAAATGGGGAGTCGAACATCCCCTTAAATAGTCGAAATTCTAGTCATGTTTCAGTCATGAACCCATACACATGCATGTAATCAGTACTGTATTTCTCACAAAAATATAGAGAATGGCAAGATCCTGCTTGCTTGACTCATGGCCTTCAAAGTTTAAACGCGTACGCCGCCTTGTGGGCAAGAAGAACTGACCATCAAAGGCTGGTTCTGCATCCGGTGCACATGAGGGCGGCAAGACACTTTGGTGATTTTTTTTTTGCCATCCACCAGTCATCCAACATATGTTGCTCAAAATTGGCCTTGACTTGAGGTATCAGGTGGACACTAGCAAGAACAGTAACAGGCATGATCGGCATGATGGCTAATGCGGCTAATGTACTGTTGACATCTGTTGACATTTAGCAATAAATCAATATATATATATATAAATCATAGAATTGGATGGGAAGATTTACAGGAAAGCCCTCTACATTTACTGTTTAAAAAAACTATGGTTTCTCGGCAGGAAAGCCTTACATTTCCTGTTAAACAGCCCATGGATTTCGGAGCAACAGGTCTTGCCAAAGATGCAACGACGGATGAAGTTTGAAGACTTTGAGGTGGACGGACGTGATGACATGTGGACGGTCCCCCCAAGTGATGAATAGATCCAATAAGAAACCAGGGGGTTCTGGGGTGTCTTCAGTTAGAGGGATGGGATTAGTGCTGAAATTCTGTGACAATCTATGAGGTTTTTCTTTTGGGATCTCGTTTTTTTGGGGGTAACTGATGGTGCTTGGAACTGGCAATGCACATGCGTTGCGGCCAACGGTCGGCTTTCCAGTCCTTGGGGGATGGTTTTTGAAGACCTCACTGCGAAGCCTGGAGTCATGGTTAGTAAGAGGAATCATCCAGAAGGAGGCCTTATTTCAGGTAAGCGAATTATTATAATTTACCCATATATATATACTATACACTGATGAGAAGTAACAAGGGGAATGATGTTGGGATGACCATACCTAATCAACTTGGCCAAGATCAGCATCATCCCGTAGCCCTGTTTGCACATCTACCATTCTATAGCCATGCAGAATGCAAAAACTTGTTTGGTCTGGGAAAGCTTCAACCTTGGCTGGGATATTAGTCCATTTATATTCATATATATACTCTAATATGTATATACTCTAATGTATAATATATATATATATACATACTCTAATATATATACAACAAGGGCCCTCACTGACGACAGCTAGTTTGCAACCGTCTGGCGACCCCTTTTTTTGGAACCGGGCGTGGCCTCAGTCTTGTCTGTATAAGGGCTGGCTACACTGAATGAGAATCGCATTCCCTTCTAGCCATTCCCGATCTTCTGCAGCGAGCTGCTCCAGTTCGGTGGTCCAGACATTGGATGTGACAATGAGAGCGACATTCCAAACCCAGATGCGATAAACATACATGCCTGTCGCCGAGTGCCCAAGTGAAATTTCGGCAGGCGGCGCCTGAAACAATTTTTTGTGCTTCAAGACAAGATGGACACTAGCTTCATCAAACACCACACACCGGTGCCGTAGCACATCATATTCCCTCATGTCGGGCCCCAACACCCCAGAACAATTGGTTTCATACGTGTGGTCTGCGCCAAAGAGAGACCGTGCATAGACAGTCTTCCCCAGGCGCGTTGGGCCATTCAGCACCAAGAATTTTCGGCGATGCATAGGCCGCGTGAACTGTGGCAAGAACAGCTGCGTCACTTCTGGTAGTTCCACTGGCTCTTTCTGCAGTGGGCGCAAGAGCTCTGCTGCAGCAGCCTGCTGCTGCTGAATGTACAGCTCCCGTTGTTTCTGGCCATGGTACTTCAGGTTCTCACAGTAAGCACGAATGTTGCGCTTGCATTGGACGTAGTGCTGCTCGGCACACTCCTTGTTAATCTTATCCCCCTGCCAAAGTCCAGTCACCCAGTCGGGGCTCACTGTGAAAGTCTGGTATGCTGGGCAAGTGGTCTGGCGAAAAATGGACCCTTTCTTCTCCACTTGGAGATAAAAGTGCCCTTGATCCAGTGCACGACGGACTGACCGCCCACGAGCCTGCGAGGAATCCAAGGAGATGTGCGGCTTGCACCCACGAAATGCCAAACTTTGTCCAGACAGATGCACTTGTCGCCCTGGCCGCAACATGCGGGTGCATGGGCCAGGAAGGTACGGTGCTAGAGCCTATCTGGTTCTGTTAGCCATCAGAACCAAACATGAAACAGGACCGAAAAGTATGGGGAAGGTGCGTCCTCACATTGGGCTGCGAAAAAGAATGACTGGCACTGGGAATGAAAGAAAAAATGACATGATTCAGGCTTGCGAGAGAGGTGCCCGCATTGCTGCCGAGTCGCGGGTGTCAAACATCATGTGCAAGTGAATGGAAGGCACTCTGCGTTGCAGCGTCACCTCTGTGTGGAGCTCCAGGGCGGTGCTGACCCGTTCAAAGCGGTACTTGTTGCCGAGCTCGGTCATCCAACTTTGAAAGTCATCCCAAATGGCAAGCACCTGCGGTGCGTTTCGTAGGCCGGCACTGAGCAGATCAATGTCGACAGATGGTCCTGCCGCAAGCAGGTCCAAGGAAGGTTGATGCTCAATCATGCTAAAGGAGCCACTGTATCGGAACATAGTACCAGTGCCCTTGTATGCTTGCGGCGATGGCTCGTTGACAATCGGCTCTTCGACATGCCACCCTGCCAGTAGGTCACGTGCAGCACGTGCAAACTTCACAGGAATTTGCGGCAACATGTCGCGCAAAATCTGCGGCCTGTCGGCTTGTGCAAATGAAGCTCTCCACCGCTGCCGCTTGGCGTGTCCGTGCTCATTCCGAGCGGCCATTCGCTGCGCAGCCCATTTGTCGCGCAGCCATATCAGCAGCTGCTTGCGTGCCTCCCGGTCAGGGGGGCCGTCTGGCGGCGGCTGCTTACCACAGAGTCGCCGTCGGACAGGCATGGCGGCACTGTGGCTCAATGATCATGTTCTTGTTTTGCTGCGTGACATGAAGGGGCCCTCATGGGAAGTTAATACCCTGGCAGCTAAGCAGTCGATGACAAAGCGACCGTACAATGAACAGCATGCAATGCCTCACCATGCTCTGTCTGGATGTGGGCACGGCGGCGGCACCCAAACAGCAGACCAAGCCTGCTCGCAGGCATGAGGACAAGCAAGCTTCCCATAGAGGAGCAGGAGATAGACGCGTCAGTTCTGGACATTGATGAGTTCAAATTGGTTATAAATGGGAGTCTATAAGGTCGAAATGGGGTTATGACTACTTATAACTGGTGAATGGCCATAACTGGTATAATAGCTGGTCTTTCACAGAGTGCAATGCACAAGAGCGGGCCAAAGAAAAGACTACAAGGCAAACAAGTGTGGGCAGCGGCTCAGCAGCTTTGTTTTCGTCAAGTACGCACGGACTTTCCGCGCCACTCGAGACTGTTGTCCCAGCGCTTGCATGGCTGAAAAACCTTGGCAGGAGCATGGAGAGGACCAAGCGACGGGTATGGACTGCGACAAAACCCAGACGACAGCACGGACAGGATCGGTCGGAGGACCGCGGAGGACCAAGCAACGGGAAAAACTATGGAAAAACGGGGGCAAAAATGGCGGTCCTCCAAATCCGCCTCTGGGAGAATAGAATTATTTGTAGCTACAAGCGAGGTTGGAGGACCATGTTGAAGCATGTTGTTCTGTGTCGCCACCATTCTAAAGGTGTCCCTTCCCACAGGCATGGTGCTTTTCTTCCTCCTCTGGGTCTACAGACCTATACATACATATCTATACCTACGTAGATATATCTTTTCATCGACATTATATTATTATATATATACATACCTTTCTCTCCATGTCTTTCTCTATCTCTCTATCGCTCTTTTATTCTTGATCTATATATATCTCCATATACATGTCTATCGCTATCTAGAATCGGTACTAGAATGAAATACTCTAATGACCGGAAAGCGGGATCTTGAGCACTTTCATGCTGACAGCTTTGAACCAGGTAAAACCAAAAGACTGATCTTTATGTGCACATCTCCTGTTTTTTTTCAAAATGCAGCATGGCATTGAATGTTTGAAATTCCCAACGCGAAGCATTGGCTTTTCGAACCGGATCACGAACAGTCCCGATCACCGACTTGCATCTCGAACATTCTTTTCCTTTCGACCCGGATCACGAACATTCCCGATCACCGACTTTCATCTCGACCATTGTATTGAAAAGTGAAACGAACGCATTGGGATGAGGAAGCGACCAGTTTCATATCAGCCACCTCCTAAAAAACTACTGATTCTTGTACGCATTTTATTTCGAGGTCTCTATTCTCCAAATCACATGTCTATCTAGATCGATATAAGGCTTTCTGGGGTATGTTCCGACTTGTCTTTTGTAAAGAATCCACCTTGAAGTCGTTTCAAAGTTCTTCAAACCTAAAGTTTTGCGTTTGGCAAAGCTCAGCTGTGTCTCATAGATTTTCTGTCCGCGTCTCCTAGATTTTATTCCAGTCATTATCCCCTTTGGTGGTTTTGGATGGATAGGGCAATTCAGGCATCAACATTCCTTGAATTGGGCAATCCATCCTTTAGGGGGTCATTACACTCCCAAAAATTAGCATAACCCCAAAAATTGTCGTGGATGAGATAGGGAGGTTCCCGGTTCAACCAACCCTTATATAATATCCAGCAACAACCAAGCTATCTAATCCGCTGGGGGGGTTCCTACACCGATTTAATCAAATGGGGGTGTGCTTCGAAGTTGCTACGCACGGAGCGGTTCGCTCCCCCCAATTGACCAAATCAGTTCCTAATTATATAATATTCTCTTATATTAATATATGTATATACAAATATATGTACGTACGCATCTATCATCCCATATCATCTTTGACATTTGCTGTCATGAAACATTGCAATCCCAATAGTTCACTCACCTGCATGGTTTGGCCATTTGGGGATGATTGAGGTCGTTATCATTTACCCTTTTCCGACAATCTACTAATTCATGCAAGCACCCTCATTTTGCGGATGCTAGACCTGGGAACTGGGTGTCATGCTGGTTGGTTACCCATCAAAAGTGGTGGTCGAACCGGGGAAGATTGATAGACCTCAACAGCGTTTTACCGTCTGGTAAATTAACATAGACCGTGGGAGATAGGGATGGAAGACTAGTTGCCATTAAACCTTGGTGATTTTAAGGGTCTATGTTAATTTACCAGTGGGTAAATCACTTTAACCATATAGGGATTCGCCAGTCATTTTTTATGGTGGTGCACCGCGGTTGACCATTGGGGATTTATCAAACGATGGGCTTATATCATTGATTGAGCCTTATGGGTAACTGGCGAGAAATCACCATCAAACATGGGAATTTAACATGAACCAAGAAACCAAGGGTACAATTGCTAGATGTAGAGTCACTTCCCCCCTGGACAGGCAGCTGCACCATGTGCCCAGATGCAATGTGGCACAGCACCAGCCGCCAGCACCAGGCGCAAAGGCCCCAGAACGGCAGCAGCATCGCCAGGTCGTGCACGCACCAGGCGCAACGGCCGCAGCGCACCAGCATCCATCGCTGCCGCCGCAGCAAGAGAATGTTAAATCACTGACAGGATACGGCGTGTGCTATGTGTCACACAGTGGTGCGTCAATCAAGCAGGCCTCTGAATCCAATGAATGAATCTGAATAATCACTCCTACAGCCACTATGCAAAGCAATCGTCTGACTCCACTGACTGAATCGCTCTCACTTCCCACAGCCAACATGCAACATGAGTGGCCGGCTGCGATTGTTTTCAGACACCTTTGGCGTCAGGTTGTTAATCAGACATAGGTGCACACTTCGTGTGCAAACTTGCAACTTCCTCACGCGTGTGCGTGCCATTGTAACACATGCAGGACGACATTGGCGCCCTTCACGGGCAAATACCAACACAGAGTCTCCTGCATAGCTCTGCACTTGTCAGAGACATGCCCATGCAGACAAACTGCAAACATCAGGGACGACCATTGGCAACCTTGACCGCCAACAGCCACGACAAATCTGCCGTGCTCAGTTTCCCAGCTTGCTGCATGATGCGACGGCGTTTTTTCTCCTGCGCCCGGCACAGACAATTTGCTGCAAACAAGCTAGCATTGATCAAGACAGGACATTATACCATGTCTGATGGCCACCAGTCTATGTCCTGGCTCTTCACCTCTCGGGTTGCTTGCGCCAACTGCCGCTTCAGCGCCTGTCGCGCTGCTTTCAAATCTGCCAAACGGTCTGCCGGCGGCGCAACGGCCGCAACATCAGCAGGTGCTGCTTCTGACGACATGGCTTCGCAGCAAGTGCGTCAAGGTGAGGGTCACCCAGGGCAAGTTCCTTCTGGCCAAAAGCTTGCAGAGTCTTCTGACAGTTGCTTCAGGGTTGCACGCTGCAAGCACATGCTTGCAAAGAGATGACACTAACACTAGCCTACACGGGGAACCCAAAAATGGGGGCTGGGATTATGCATAAAACTCGGCTTCCACAAGCTGGACCCTAATAGTATATATTAGTATATATATATATATATATACATATATATATATATATATACGTATATATATATATATATACATATATATACATGTTAGTATGTATATACTAGGCCTCGGCACAAGAATCTGATCAACACCATGTTCACATGCTTCTGCCTTCAAATGACCATGTTTTTTATCGGTGCTTCCCATGGCTTTTCCCGTATCCGGTCTGTAGGTGGCCCTGCGGCAGCTGGCAGAACGGAAAGGTGTAGCAATGAGTGCCTTAGCGGTTTAGCGAGTTGAGGAGATGAGGGCATTGAGAGAAGAGCATTGTTCATGGCTGAGTACAGATTTTGAGAAATCATGGTATTATATGGTATTATTAGTACCATTACTAGTACCATAGTTTGTTGTATTAAAATCATATACTATTATTAGCACATGGAAAAGTGGGCATTTTTGATCTGACGTGAAGCTCGGTGAACTCCTGGAGGATCTGCTTGGGGATATGGCTTGAAACTTGGGTGTCAACTGGGGATTTCACCAACTATGGAGATATTACATGGGAAATATATAACTACAAACAACTTGATATGAGTGAACTTTTCGGGGACTGGATATGTTACTTCGACCATCATTTAGAGAGGTTTATGATGCGATATACTGGGAGAATAGTGTATAAATGAGTGTACAATCGGCTACAACTAGCCTGTTTGAAACTAGGATGTATACCCCGAAGCAACCATTTGAATGGAAACTGCTGATTAATCACTGAATTCTGGTGTGCCCTGTTTTCGGACAAAGCCATGTATTGTGGATATGTACTGTATATCATTGTATATCTAAGTAATCACATACTCGGAATATGCGTATATCATGGGATAATAATGGGATACATACTGGGGAAATATGACGGGGATATACTGGGGATAGCGTTGTGGAATGTGGTCAGAAGTAACTTTTTCAGGAAAATCATGAGATGTCTATATTCCATAGGGATTTGAATCATCGAAGTAAAGGAAACATGTTTACCATGTTGTTCCCACTTTTGATGTTGAATTTCTGGCAAATCATCCTGCCACAATCCACAGATATTTGGCTCGGAACAACCATGTTTTCCCGGTTTTCCCGTATATTGTCCAAGGAATGTCCAAGACGCATTACTGGTTGGATGGCTGAAATGTGACCCTCCAGTAAACATCATTCAACTAAGATAGCCATGGAAGACCATGGAAGCCATGGCCATGCTTAATCAACAAATCGTTTACTTTGATCATGATTGACTCATTATCCATGGCCATGTTCAGGATACCTTCGATCCAGTCAGTTGATGATTTCTTTGATGTGTCGTATCATCTAAGATCCAAGACATATCCGCTGGTTCATAGGCCTTTATTCGTTTTTTTTTTAAATAAGCCCATTTTTGGACGACCCAAACTGTCCGTGAGGTGCCATTCGTCAAGCCATTGCCTTCGCACATGGCCCCTTTGTTGGGGGCCCCGAGTATTCCCCCAATGATCGCCATTTCATAGGGAAAATGATGACTAGCCATTGGATTTAGGGATGCCAAAACCATGGGATTTCTAATTCTATGCATTAGAAGAATCAATTTCGATGCGAAGCATGGGGAGTGAACTTGACCAAACATGGGATTTGGCGGTCGCCAGGATGTCAATTTAAAAGTTAAAGGTGCTCTTATCATCAAGTATCCAAACATGGTGGTTTCCTGAAATGGGGGTACCCCCAAATCATCCATTTTAATGGTACTTAGTACTTTCCCTTATAAACCATCCATTTGGGGGTACCTCCATTTTAGGAAACCCCCACATACTAACTGAACAAATCTGAACCATCAACACATGTTTCTCAGGTTTCAGGAAATTTCGACAGGTGCCCCGGAACAGAATGGGGCTGACAGTTGCAGCTGTTCGCTGTTCCGGCGAAATTGGTGGCGGGACCACTGTGGCAGGTCCCCTTTGTGGATCAAGTTGTCCGTTTCTGAAAAGGTGACTGCGAAATACTACGTGTATACTATGCTGGTTGGTGGTTTCAAACATGGTTTTTATTTTCCACAATATATGGGATAATCTTTCCCATTGACTTTCATATTTTTCAAGATGGTTAACACCACCAACCAGATATAGTATTATATAGTATACATATGTAATCATAGTATAAATGTATACACAAGACTGCAAAAATTAACAAAAAAAACAGATATTGAATGATATTGATCATGTTTTGAGGTCCAGGCATCCCACGATTGGATTTTGACTGTGTTCCCTAAGGCCATTTTGATGGTGATGTTGGGCCAGGAATCCTCAATCCCATCACACATCTAAATCTGTCCACCCATGAAACAACCTGGCGTTTAGTTACTGGATCTCTTCATTTTTCTGGATTTATCTTTTGGGGATAGATATGGGTCAAATCCCTGGTGCCCTGCTGAACCTTCCAATAGGGATGGATGTTGATCAACCACCGGTTCTATTGGTGTTATTCAGAAGTTATTCTTGTACGGTGTGATAATCATGTTGTTTCAGTGTTGCGTTGGAACTATGTTTGAACTTCTTTGTCTCATTTTTTTTAATATTATGTTCACTATTATAATTGAACATGTTGCCACCATTTGGCACCTATTTCATTGTTGTAAAGATAAGTCATTGCGAGTACAAGTTTCACTTTTTCCCATTATCATGGTTATTATTGTTATTGTCAATACAACTATTATATATCAATGCTACTATTGTTATCCCTTGCCTGCATATTACCATCCGTTACTACCATTGTCATTACGGTGAAACCATCGCCTGAGTGATTACTATCATCATTACCATATAGCTACGAACATAATTACCAGGGACTATTGACAACTTCAATTATTGCCATTGCTGCCTTGCGTGCCTTGCATATTTTCCAGGTCTTCCGAGCACCATCTCCGGGAATCAATGGACTAGTACAAGGGAAAATGTTACAGGGAAAATCCACATTTTTCTCTGGAGAAAAGAATAATTTACAGGAGCAATCACCATATTTCATTGGAAAATCCATGTTTTTTTCAGGGAACATCGGAACATCCTCATTTTTCACTGCTGGACCCATATTGTTTCCGCCGCGACTCGCGCTTAACTTCGTAACGCGCGTTCTTCGCATCTCAGGTGCAGGCAACGGAGGCGGACGCCATACGCTTGCACGATGACATCAGCAGCTACACAGGCGGAAGATCAGCTGGGGTTAGTAGCTTTTCCCTATTGGTTGATTAATAGAGGGGATCATCCATGATTAATCAGTAATTATAAGCATTGTATATATATATCTATATATATATATATATATATGACCAAGCATATATGTAAGTGGTTAGTAGCTGGGGTTAGTGATGAATAGATCCAATATGATCCAATAAAAAAACAGGCTGGTTGGTGGTTTATGTGGTATGGATGATTTTTCCATTCAGTTGGGAATGTCATAATCCCAACTGACAAACTCCATCATTTTTCAGAGGGGTAGGTATACCACCAACCAGTAATATGTTATGATTAAATATAGTGCCATTTGTTTTTTTTGTAAATGAATAATTAATCCACAAATTGGGGATTGAGTTAGTAACTGGGGCTAGGTTATAACCCATGTGTAAATGGGATAATCCACTTGGGGCACTGGGTTAGTAACTGGGGGTTAGTTCACTCAATTGTAGATGGGATCATAAACGGAGAAAGGGGACTTACCGTACGATCACTGGGGTTATTCACCACTTATCCGTGTGATGATCCTCCAAGTAGTTGAGATTGTTGGTTTCAATCTTGCAAAGATGGGACATTCTATACTTGGTGGTTGGGGAGATTCTATTGATTGGGATTGTTGGGGCAAATCTACTGTCATTGCAAAGATAGTTCAATCTTTGTTTTCAACAATATTCGTCTGAAAAAAAAAGGTAGAGTCAAGAATGAGTGGACACTGTTCGAACAGCAATTTCTAGATGTGTAATTGGAAAGTGTTGGTTTTTGATGGTTGTGACATGTTGTGATGGTATTATTGGGTTGCAGCACTTTGAGATTCGGTATAGTATGTCAAACCAAAAATTGTTGCCCCGGCATGCACCATTCTGAGATTGGTCTTGGGAGAATGTGTGGCGATAATCTGATTCTGTCTCAAAATAAATCATGAGACACCATTGTGCAGTTGCATTTTTGGCATTTCTATCCACACTATCCATCATGATCCCGCAACTTCGGAGGTCACCATGATAGAAAAAGACATAAAAAGCATCCAGCATGGGGCAACAAATTTTGTGGGACAGCGGACGGCGGACAGTTTCGTAGGTGGTGTTGTGTTTTTTTGTTTTCTGTTGGTCAAGACAGGTACTCATGTTCATGGTGGTCCTGAGTTTCGGGAACCCAGCTGAACGCGATCGGCCCGACCATCTTCCCACGGATCGCTTCACGGGGTATACCACCAAAAATATGATATTTGGGTGTGTCAGGAAATTGGGTATACGGTATACCATATACCACCAAAATATGGAAAAAAAAACAAACGTGTTGTTCTGATAATGAAAATGAATGAACATGATGATAAACTCTCAGATTTTGGGGTACATACCATATGTTTTTGAAAAAGAAACAAGAGTCAGCGAAACACAAGGAAATGTGTTCTCTATTTCAGAATGCTTTACCTATGCAAACTTCAAGAGTACCACGCAAACAGAACTTAGACGCCTTCTTATCCTTCTTCATTTTTTTGAGGGAGAACCGTCCGAGTTTATTTGTCCATTTAGACCGACCCCTCTTCATGACCCAGATGCGATCGACGAACAATTCAAATAATATCGGAATTTCAAACATGTTGAAACCCCTTAATAAGGAAAGAACGGAACATGCAGAACAAATCCGACTGTGTTTTTCCGCGTGAATCTGGCTTAATATAAATCTATCTAAAGTCACTGATACCACAGCCCAATGAACAGTATCCCAAGCAGTATTTAAAGAACGGCACAGTCACAAGCACAATACGCCTCAGTCAAGGCGTGGAAGTGCCTTGCCAAAAAAAACAGAGCATTATTTTTGAAGGTAGGACCTTTAAGGAGGGATCTGTTTGACCGCTATGGTATGTTTGAAACATGTTCAATAGCCAAAATGCAGGTCCGAAAAGGAGAGATATTTAAAAATAGATACGGGGGCAGGGACTACTCCAAAAGACATCGTTGGAGTGGGAGTCGAAAATGGACTGGATCTTTCCATATATATATATCACTTTAATCGTCCATGGTGCTGGCGTATTGTGTTTGTCCAAGAAATATGTATCCAAAGATCCATTTATTTAAAAACAGTGTCACTTTTTGAGAGTACACTATGGTACACCCATTTTTTTTACAGATCTCATTGCAAAAATGGCCAACATGGCCATGGGTCGATATGATTTGCCCTCCACCAAAATTGATTGTTCGACGCTCAAATTGACCAGCTATTTGTGGGTCCATTGTTTCCCTGATTGCTATGGCCCAGTTTCGACCCACAACAACTAGCTAACTGTAACAAGCCCATAACCCTGGATAAACCCTAGTTGATTACTCGGGGGAACCCTCCCAAGCAATATCAACTAGTGATGTGATTTGCTACAAAAGTGGTTTCCCCTCTTCAGTTTCACAACAGCCCAAAAGCTTTCCAAAATCTGGGGCATCAGAATGATGATATTATGAACATAACGGCCTATGTAATTATCCGTCATTGTCCATATTGATGGATAGTACGGAAGATTTAATCAAGTAAACCATCAAAGGGAGATTTGAATGGATTACAAAATGTACAATCATATCCTATGATATCCCATTGTATCCCATCCTATTGTGGCTACGTTCTCTGCAAAATTGAGTTTGTCTGAAAATATGATGACGATGCCCCATTAAATATGCCATTTGAAGGGTATACCGGTATACCATGGCATACCCCATTTCGGACAACCCAATAAATATATCATATGATGGTTGTATATCCCTCATATCAAATGTGTTGTGTATTATATATATATATATCGAAATATACATGTCTTGTAAGCTCCCAAAAATGTATATAAGACATCCAGTTGGTGTATATAAGGATGGTTCTTAATATATAAATATATGTCCTGTTATATATATATATATGTATATATATATCCTGTTATATATATATGTATATATATATATCCATTGTCATACCATGATATTTTGACCTTTCCCAGTTGACCATTCACGCGCGGCAGCAAGGTCCGGTGCTTTGGGCTTAGGCACCGTGAACTTGTGGCGATGAGGCTGCGTCGTTGGGAGCTGCTCCTCATCGTGAGCAGTGTTTACAACAGCCAACTACTAATGGGATTGTAATGGGATTTATAGAGATTTACAGGGATTTTCATAGGGATTTATAGGGATTTATATGGATTTATAATGATTTACAGGGATTTTTCAGAGGGATTTTCATGGGGATTTTCAAAGGGATTGTAATGGAATTTTGGGGAATATTTATCGGTATACCCGAAATGTCATTCTATATACTGGTTGGTGAAGAACGGCATTCCCAGTTCAATCATTGTGATATTCCCCAATATATTGGGTAGTACAATCCCCGAACTAGTCATCAACCAAATACTTCTCACATGGTATATCATGATATTATAGCATTGAAATGATGAAAGGGGTGTTCTGGGGGGGTGACCATATATATATATATATCTATTTAGAGAAAGATATATGATATAATGTATATATGATATACATGTATATATATAATGTCACCCGGAGACACCCCTGAAGGCCCATTTACACCAAGACCTACCACTCTTCCTTTCGATGATGCGGAGCTGTCAGGCATTGCCAGAGGATGCAGCCCGCGCAGCGTCCCGGGAGTGGCCCCACTGGTGGCATTGGCAACAGAAGAATAAACAACATAGGGATTTATAGGGATTTATATGGATTTATAGGGATTTATATAGATTTATAGGGATTTATATGGATTTAATGGGATATATTTGGGATATATGAATTGGGATACCTGAGATCTGGATAAATAGAATAAATAGAATGACCTCACTTCGACCTCACCTGATGGGAATTAGATTGGGGTAAGTATCCCAAAATTGCCGAACTATTCTGAAATACTTCGTGAATTATTCTGATTTATTCCTGATTTATGATTTATGCTGAACATGTCTGAACTATGTCATGGATGACACCCGTCCCCATATTTGATCCCTGACTCGTGTCTTGTGAAGCTGCAAGCCATGAATCATGGTTTCTTGCACTGCCGGGCTGTACATCTACTCGAAATCTCTTGCAAAAAAAAAAGCTGCATAAATGCAGCATAATGCAGCTGCCCCAGCTGTCTCTTTGGTCCCATTTGCAAAGTCAAATCATATGGACCTTGCTTCATTTTGAAGTCTTCCCAAAGCCGATGTTTCCGTTGGTGTCCATCCCAAACTTCAATTCCAATATATACCAACGTGGCAGTTGTTGGTGTTGATGTAAGCGGGTCATTTTTGTTCACAATGGTCTGGGAAGGAAAACCACCCGACGTCATGAAAAGATACATGGTGATCTTAGATCTTGTCAATCACTTGTGCAGTTGCTTTGCAATGTATGAAAAGTTGTTGTGTTTTCTGATAAGATCTTCAGGAGTATTTTTGGCATGTGAATGATTCGAAACTGAAAGAGCAAGAAGCTATCTATATAAATGTGTACATATACACACTGCATATACCTCAGAAATGTGTTCAATTTGCACATGCGCTGTCTCTTCCTCCTGTGCAACCATTTCTGTCCTGGATCGGTATACGGAAAGAAACCAGTAACGTAGAGAAAGATGAAGCTGTCATTTTTTTCTCCGTCCCCAGCTACAACTACTATAGCAGCTACAGCAGTCAATATGGCAACACTTATTTTGCTGGTGTGTTGCAGAATGGTCTCCCAACCATTGGGAAACCGATCGTGGAAACATCCTGGAATTTCCTCGGCAAGCACCGGCCAATGGGTCGAGCAGCGCCGAGCGCAGCAAGCGCTGTCAAGCGCGCGCACACAAGATGCGGGCTCCAGCCGTCCGAAAGTGGCGATGTCATCTTGAAAGAGGTGTGACTCAAACTACGACTGCCCGGTGGCCTAAAATGTGGTGTACACCCAAAAAAACATCAGCAAATGGATCAAAGTAGGTGGTATCTTGGATTCGATAGGCAGAAAGTAAAATTGGATGTGGTGTTTTCCCTCTTACATGAACCAAGACTCAAAGCTGGACCTGGCGCATTTGAGCCACTCCCAAGTAGCAAGGTTGCAGGGTCGTTTGCTGCTGGGCATTGCGCGTCCAAGGGTTCTCTGGATCTCAACAAATTGCATAATTAATTTGCATGGTTATGTTTTAAACATCCAAGAAAACCAATGATAACACTGCAATCAGCAACTGAAGAGGCTGTAAATGATTGTTGTATTGTTTGAAGGTGCACTAGCTTGAGGACCAGCGATGCCATGCAGCAACGACCCTGGCCGCAGCGGCAGCTTTTGAGCCGGCTGACTATGCCTCGTGGATACATAGGTAAAGTGGTAGACCTTGGGGGAAGAAAACTGGTAGCCTTAGTAAACTTCATGACATTTCTTTACATGGCTATTTGGGTGTAGCTGACAGTCTTAGACACACCTAAGGGTCGGAGGTCTATCCCAAAATGGTCGCGATCGATCTTTGCAAAATCTTGGCGGGGAAAAATGAAGATTTTTCCGCGGAACATCTGGGGTTACCATGGGTTACCCTATTTTTAGACCAACCAACTATATAAACCACATAAATAATCCAAAAACATGTAGGGTAATCTAATGCAATATCGCTTCACTATTCTTTACTCATGTTTGGGATTTGTTGAACATAGTGCAGAATCATGTGTCCATGAGACTCTGTGCCTTCTTGCTCGTTTCAGTCACAGCTAAGCCTGCAGAAAGTGCAACCAATTCATAGTCCCCAAAAAGATTGATTGATCAGCATTTTAGGGGGATTTCACTGCACCTATTTTCTTTCGGTTGCTAATTATATAGTTGATTCAGTTTCAAACTACGATTAATTGATGCAACATCGGAAGTCTTCTCCTGTTGCATGTGTTCTCAGATTGTCACTCGTACTGGCATGCACTGTTTCATGTTCTCAAGTCATACATAGCTGCAAGTTGCGGAAATAGTACTGCAGTTCAATTCCATGTGGTTCCTCTATCTTGCCAAAGATAGTCAGTGGACAGCCGCCAGCATCAGCATTGAGAGGTTGCTGTCTCAACACCTTCCCAAAGATCTGTTGTCGAAAGACGGTTTAGTCGTCTTGGTGAACCAAGAACTGGGACGAGCAGGATGTTCATATGTAGGTGTCCTTCGCAGATAGGTTTTCTGATGCTGTCCATGTTGCTGAAAAGGAACGGCTGCAAAGCAGAACAGCTGTAGAGCGGAGGATGCTGCAACATGTGACAATAATCATTGCCACTATTGATGGTGAAGGCATAGTTCAAGGCATAACCATGATAACCATGATGGGATAATGATAACCATCATGAATCATCACCATCATCTGGTTGGTGGTTTCAAACATGTTTTATTTTCCATAATATATATATATATATATGGGATAATCCTTCCCATTGACTTTCATATTTTTCAAGATTGTTAAAACCACCAACCAGTCATTAATGATATCCTATCATATCCTGTCATCATTAATAGTTCAAGGCCTAACGGTGAATCGCCATGATCACCTTCCCCAGCACTTGCCGCAACTACCGGAGCTAGTTGCCACAAGAATCTTGACCAATCGAGTGTTTGTCCACTAGCCAAGAACCAGTCAACAGATGTTGTCTTTGGAGTCTTTAGATGTCTTCGAAGTTGAAGAAGTTATTTATAAGAAATTATGGTGAACATGATAGTGAACGTATGATAACATTATTCATTGGGTTGGTTTAAGGGAAAATCTACAGGAAACCATGGTTTTTACCATTAAAAAAAAGGGGCTTTCCTGTAAATCAACTCCCAGAAGTTCAGCCTCAATGACGGCCGCGCGGGCTGCGCGCGGACCGCACACACCACGGCCAGGCCGAAGGGCGAAACGATGCGAAACGCGTTATAAGTGAAATCGCCCATCAGTTGTGACACCCATGGTGGTTGAATGATGGAACGAATGTGGTGTGGTGTTGAATGTGGTTGAGGTGTTTTATGGATTTTTATGGTGTATTGGAAGTCCTTCTATTTGTCCATTTCTGTTGCTTTACAGACTTTAACTCCCTACTACTCCCTATTCTTACTGCATGTATGGCCGGTCATAGTCATATCAATATCTGCAACAACAACAACAACAACAAAGAAAAATATACAGTACTAGTTAGATGGGACATGGGCTTGGCTTGGTTACCTAGTTGGCAATGGGATCATAATTGGGTACGTAGATGTACGTATCACCTTCTGTGAATCGTTACTACCCATGAATATATATATATATATCCCACTACTAAACCATGATTACCCAGTATATCCATGTCTATCCCATGTTTGCCAATGTTTATCCATTCTGTTCCACCATTAACTAATTACCTTCATCATCCAATACCCGCATTATCCACCGGAGGATGGCAGTCGGAATTGCAGCGCTTTCTGGTGGCCTGGGACGAAGACGGTCCTCCCAGCATGGCCTTTTCGACCGCCATTTGCGCTGCCATGGGACGTCAACAAGCGGCTCTGCAGGCGGAGATCAGGAGATGCCGAAAAAGATAGAAATTGGTACCCCCTATGTTAGGAAACCCCCATAATCTTGTATCTGTATATACATATACTGGTTGGTGGTTTGGAACATGTTTTATTTTTCCATATATTGGGGATAATAATGCCAACCGACTTTCATATTTTTCAGAGGGATTGAAACCACCAACCAGATGGTTAGTTTAACCTGTTGTGCACGTTTTTTTGGGGGGTTTACATGGTTTACTTATTAATGCCTTTCTTGATTTTGTTGGGGTGGTGTCATGGTTGAAAAACAAAAGCTTTACAATGCTTAAACCCATAGATCAAAATAATATGATAATGTTTGTTCCTGGGGATTGTTGGTGTGCTATGTTCAAAGATTCTCTCTTATCCAAAGGATGAACATGGATGGACCAATGAACATATTGCCCGTCATGACTTGGGGATTATGACCAGCATGGGCCGGTGAAACTTCTCGAGCCACTGAAGGGGGGCTCTTGAGTTTGCAGTTGCGTATTTTTTTATGTATTTGCTTTTCCATTTGATTTATATATAGAAACAGGACACCACATATCTATACATGTTTGAGCATGTTTTCCACATCAACTAGTTCTCTAACCACATTCAATTGCATCCCATTGAGTTCAACTTCATCCCATGTCACACGAGGCCTTCAACTTTGGCCAATTCATAAGACAAAAAGGCGCGGCGAGACCCGTTTCTCTCTGTAGGGATATCATGTGTCCCCAACTTCAGTGGCGTCGCATGATTTCGACATCCTGGGACTGGCAACATCTATGTTGGTTGAACTTGCCAGTTTTTCTGGGACTGGCCAGCCATGAAATGCCATGAATCTATGAGTCCCGCTAGTCCCACTTCAGGACTTTCTCTGCCAGGCCTTCAAATGGATACCTTCTTTTGCAACAATGTCCTGCAAGCCTGTTCCTCCACCCAGCGATGGGACCTGCCACTGGCTGTTCTCGAAACCATGTGCCCTGGCGCTCATCATTGTCATCGTCATCATCGTTAATTAAAAGATCACGTAATAAAGATGAATTTCATATAATCCGAACATATCGGAATTATATTGCGGTAACAATGAATAGTAATAGTTATTACTGTTGTTACTACATTTTTAATACTACTTGTTTCATCATGATAGCATCACCATCATCCATCACACATTTGTTTAAATTATACACAAACAATGATAGTAGTGATAGTCATCATCCCATTCCCAATATCCTCCACCCTTCACTCCATCAATGGGGTACCCCAATAGCTGGATGAGAAAAATAATGGAACATCCGAAAGTAAAATAGATGATTTGGGGGTACCCCCTATGTTTTTTGAACCCTTGATATCTATATTTGTATGTATATATGTATATATATATTGTACATATACTGGTTGGTGGTTTGGAACATTTTTTATTTTTCCATCCAGTTGGGAATGTCATCATCCCAACTGATTCATATTTTTCAGAGGGGTAGGTATACCACCAACCAGTAATATGTTATGATTAAACATAGTGCCATTTGTAAATAATTGTAAATGATTAATTATTAATCCTCAAATTGGGGATTGATTTACTAACTGGGGCTAGGTTATAACCCATGTGTAAATGGGATAATCCACTTGGGGGACTGGGTTTGTAACTGGTGTTAGTTCACTCATTTGTAGATGGGATAATATACATATATCTGGGTAAATTATAACGACCTCACTGCGACACTGGAAATCATGGTTAATAAGGGAAATCATCCCCAAATGGCCCAACAATTCAGGTTAGTGAAATATTATAATTTCCCCAGATATATGTGCCTTTCACCGTCCCAGAATCCCCAGAATCCCCAGAATCCCAGGCTCCACTCGGGCCCCTCTCCAGACATCGCCAGCTTCGGCGCCACGGTGCACGCCTTGGCCACCAGCGGCCGCTGGCGCCAGGCCCTGGCCGTGGCCGACCACGTCGTGCTTAACGAGGTGATCTGCGGCGCCCTGGTGGCGGCCTGCGAGAAAGCGGCGCGCCTTGGCGATGTCAGCTGTAGGTAACAGAAGAAACCACCCATGACTGGGAGTTTACCCTCTGGTAAACATACAAAAAGCTATTGAAAATGGCCAAAGAAATAGTGGATTTTCCCATTAAACATGGTGATTTTCCATAGCTATGTTAGTTTACCAGAGTTTATAGCATTTCATACCACAAGATTAATGGTGACCTGATGTGACCTGGGAATTTATAGCCTGATAAAAACCACCTATAAAAATTGGGTGATGACTGGGGGATGGTTTATTAGTGTTTTACCCACATTATACCCATAGCTAGCCTATAGGTAGCCTAAAAATCCCTAAAATAGCTGGCGGATGGTGAGGTATATACCCTATAGTTTGGCTCGGTGGATGAGTGATTTGTTTGTGAGAATCATAGGTTTCATCATAGGTTTTGAATGGTTTTGACCCATCCAAATGGTGAGGATGTGAGATGATATGAGATGATACATGGTTACATGGGATTTTCCAACAATTTGGTATAATATTTGGTCATGTCTGAAATGGAGGATGGACCCCCCAATTATGGCAATGTTGATAGGGAAAATGATGATTGACCAGCTGATTTCAATGCATATCCATGCAAATAAAATAGCGACCTCACTGGCCATGTGGCGGACCTCACCATTTTGCTGACGGTTGGTTTGGTGATACCAAAATGCTTCAGGATATCACGGCTTGAGCTGTGCCGGCTGTGCCTGCAGTGAATATAGCTGGATTGATGAATATATGGATGAACATTAATATTTTCACATGGGTCCCCAACGGCAACTTAATTGTCATGGTGATCATTGTTTGGACGTTTGCAGTTTTTGGGGTGATCCTTACAGGTCCGGAACATCACTAATTATATAGATGGGTGGTGATGGTGGTGAGGAGGAGAATGATAATGACTAATAAATATTAATAATATGAATTATGATGATTAGATATGTGCGAAAGTTGCGAAGTTGTGTTTAAACATGATGGATAGCAATACATTCCTCCATCGATCATCTCATCTGAGGCAGTGGGAGGTTGCCTTGGACCTTCTTAGATCCATGAAAGGTTGGTCGTGGTTGGGTGGGGTCGTTGGATGTCGGACTATGTGACCATCTCCCAAACCTTCCCAAAAATGTAAGGCTGTTTTTTCTAGAATAATCTCCCAAAAATTGAGCTAGAGTTTCTGTTTTTTTGGGGGGAGGCTTTGTTTTTGAATGTTCTTGATACAATATATAGATAAATATATATATATATATATATATAGTATTTACATCTATACCCATGCAATCTGGCTAATTTACCGATGGTATATCTATGGCATTCTATACCTGCATGGCAGCCAGGTGCTTCGGGTGCTTCGGTGCAGCCGAATGTGGTCATCTACAGCTCCGCCATCTCGGCCTGCGAGAAAGGTGCGATGTGGGAAACATGATGGGGAAATCCATGGTAAATGGAGGTTTATATAATTAATATATATATATAGCTGGGAAAATATTGCCCATTATAATTAGATGACACATCACAATTCAACATGCTGATTTTCCAGTCACTGTTAAATGATCAGAGGGTCCCAGTGGTTTCCTGTGCAAGAACAAACATCTCATGTTTGTGGAACAAAATCCCGAAAGTTGATGAAAGTTGATGTTTTTCACTCCTCAGCTGGAGAAATCGCCCCTTACTAAGTGCACCTAGACTCCCCATGCGTCCCCATGCGTCACAGGCGGTGAATGGCGCGCCGCACTGGGCGTCTTGAAGGAACTTGGGGATGTATCTTGGTTGCAGTTGGTTTCAACCATCCCAGCTGCAGAATTTCGCAAATTTTCCACTTAGTACCCTCTGGTTAATCTATGGTATATGGTTAAAATATGGATAATCTATGGTTAATATATGGATAATCTATGGTTTATGGCCATCCCAGCTGCAGGATTTCGTATTTTTTTCTACTAAGTACCATTTGGTAATTTAACATAGCCATGGTATAGATGGCCCATAGAAATAGATGGTTTACCTATTAAAAATGGTGATTTTCCTCTGGTAAACGTTTACAGTTTGCTATTAAGAATGGTGATTTTCCTCTGGTAAACGTTTACAGTTTGCTATTGAAAATTGTGATTTATAGTGGATTTACCCATTGAAAATGGTGGATCTTTCCATAGTTATGTAAACGTTTACCAGAGGGTAGATGTCAAAACTTATGGAGAACTTCATGTTTTCCAGTGAACATGAACTACAAGTTGATTTTACTGAAGTTTTTTTTTTTGAATTGATTTGCATGATTCTAGGGGCGAATGTGGCAGTTTATGATAGTTTATTGCAGGATTAATGTATCTCACAGTCGGATGGCGGAAATATGCAGAATCAAGAGGGGTTAATCATGTGTTAATTTAGGATGTTTCCTAAGTCATGGGGGTACCCCCAGTCATCCATTTTTGTGTTTGATTTGCCCTCTGGTAAGTTAAGAGTTTGACCCTGAAAATCACCAGTTCTTAGTGGAAACTCATCTTCCCCCTGTCTGGCAGGGTCTGTAATTTACCCGAGGTTCCACCTGGGATGGATGTGATAGCACTGGTCATGTGTGTTATTTCTGCTATAGAAATAGGGATAGATTAAGCCAACCAACTATATATGTATCTATTTGTATATTATAATAGATATAAATGATATAATTATTATTATATGTATATATATATATATATATTATTATGTATTTTATATTCAATATAATATAATATTATATAATATGATATACTGATATATATTACAATATACCTTTTAAAGATTATTATAAATTAATGGTGATATATATATATATATATATATATATGTATCTAGATTATATTATATCTTATAACATATATATATATACAGATACTATATCATATATTATATATATATTCTATACTATACATTAAATATTATATAATTATTTTACAATATAATATATATTAATATACTATGTGTTTTATTATATTTATATATGTTATATTATATCAGACTATGTATATGCTATATGTTATATATTATATGGTATATATTATATGGTATATATTATATGGTATATATTATATGTTATATATTATATGTTATATATTATATGTTATATATTATATGTTATATATTATATGTTATATATTATATGTTATATATAGTGTATATATATATATATTATAGTCTATTATATTATTATATATATATTATATTTTATATTCTATATGTTATATATTTATTATATTATACTATATTATACTATATTATATTATATTATATTATATTATATTATATTATATTATATTATATATATTATACATTGTATATTATATATTACATATTACATATTATATATTATATATTATATATTATATTATATATTATATTATATATTATATTATATATTATATTATATTATATATTGTATTATAATATTATATTATGTATATAATATTATATATATTATATTATTATACATTATAGATTTTATATTATATATCACAGTTTGTATATTGTAAGCATGCAGGCTAATATCTAATCATTGGTGAAGTAACTCAGGAGATGCTGCAAGCAGATCTCATTGCCTACAGCGCCAGCATCAGCGCTTGCGCCCGCGGTGGTCATTGGCAGCAGGCCTTGCAGCTGATGGCTGAGATGAACTCGATTGAACTGCTGCCAAACATTGTGAGCAGCTTGGATGAAACGATGCCAGGGATAGTTCATGGGAAATGATGGGAAATGAAGATTTCATCGCTTTTTATGGGAATTTGATGGTAATTTTATGGGATTCATTGGGAATTCATCGGACTTTATGGTGATTAATAGGGATTCAACCATCAGCAAGTCGGGATTGTTCATGGAACTTCATAGGATATGAATGAGATTGAATGAGATTGTAATGGGCCATAATGGGATATTAAACAGCTAACCAGCTATTGGGTAATCAAACATGGCTGGCTTGGAAATCACCAAGTTCGATGACCGGTGGGGGGTAACATGGGAATCGGTTGGATTTTACCCCGAAGAAATTGAGATTAAGATGGGAATGCAGATAAACAGGTTTCCTAAAATGGGGAGGGGGTACCCGCAAAGCATGGCTTTCAAGACTAAAATGGTCTAAAGAAACTTGCATGATTTGGGGTACCCCCATGACTTAGTAACTTCGGAAGCCCCCATATATCCCCATATGTATAAATGATGGTTGGTAGGGGGACTGATCCCATGTTTTTTTATGTAGGCCCAGGATTGGTGGGACGGCTGCACTTTTTAGGCACATTTGATCCCGCCATGCTATCGGTTGAAGCGATGTTCAAAAAGGAATTTTGATGGGAACCAACCAACGATATTGAGTAATGAAATGGTTAGTCAATGTTAGTTGGTAACGATACCAAATTCAATTGCTTAGTTAATGTCAGTTAACCAACATGTTAATGTTAGTTGGTTATATCCCAACTATCGTAACTTCCATCGGGTTTTCGAAAACCGACGTGTTCCGTATTGAAAAAGTCCATGGACATCATGGACCGAGCCCCCGCAGTCTACAATGCTGCTCTGGATGCCTTGGCGCACGAGCCACAGAACTGGGCTACTTGGCCCGCTTGAGTCGCTTGAGACCAGTATTCAGGAAGATGTGTATGGGTCAAAATTGAGTAGCCCAATAATTGGATGGTTAGATGTGTGAAGTACAAAAAAATCATCCTAAATCTCCGGTCCTTGATGTTTTTAATTTGACCCATACCTATATGATTAGGGAGATGGGACCACTCCCTATCCATACGTGTTTTTATCGGAATGGTTATCCATTATCGCAACATATCTATGATGTTTGTTCGGGCTCAATGTCTCCAACTGTACATGTCAATCATATCAATGCGTAAACCCAACAATAAACCCCCAAAACCACAATTTTCAGATGCTTTATACAACCCATGTTTGGTAAGTTTGCAGGGTTTACCACATGATTCAAGTACCACAATTTGTAGATCGTGTCGATTGGTCCTCATAGTTTATCAGGGTTGAAACCAACCAGTATGAATTTATCTACAGTTTGCCCACAGCTATAAATTATACCATAATTATATATCATTACAATATATACCTATTGGTGGCTCAACCACCAACCAGTATGATAGATTTGCACATCAAACCTGTAATCGAACCTGTATTCCAATATTATAATTTGTGACTAAAATTTTCCAGGCATTTTTGCCAAAACCTGCGTTTTCATAGCATTTAAGCAACATGACCAACATCATTTAAAAATTCAGAGCCGAAGAACAAGTCAAACGCTTACAGTAAATGAAGTATGTTTGTTATTTTCCTTAGTATAACTTTCATGACTCAAGTCAACATCAACAGTTGGGTATTATTATTGTGTATATATATATCATAATATTGGATTTCCATGATCAGTGTTATCATTATCTTCTCATAATTACGTTGGAAACACATATATCCCCACTTTCATAGCAATACTTTCCAATTATAGCATGTTATAGCCCTATGATATCCCTATCATTATATCGGTTGTGCTATAACACAGTATCTCTTTGTTCCCATGAAATATTCATCCAACGGCGAAATCCCATCAAAATTTTCATGGTTGATCAAGTCACCACGTTCCATACATTTGATTGGATAACAAACTATCAAACCTCATTCATGGCATTGGCGAAGTCCCAGTAAAAGTCTGCATTTCATCATGATTATCAACTATCAACCAGTACTATATCATAAGTTGATATATCAATCATGTGGGTAAAACAATCAAAAACCATCCCCCAGTCATCACCATTTTTATAGGTGGTATGTTTACCATTGCCAGTCATGGTTTTTGCCCACATCACTAGCATGATTATCAAATATCATCAACAAGTACATCATAAGTTGATATGTATATATATATATATGTGCATATATATATACATATATGTGCATATATATATATGTATTTGTGCATATATATATATAACCACTAGCAACCAGTTCCCTTGCTGGCCAGACCTTGGCCTTCCAGCTGCTGCGTTCCTTGCGCTCGGCGACTTTCCGACCGCAGCTGGAGAGCTACAGCTGTGCCCTGCGAGCCATGGGGCCCCAGAGGTGACGGCTGGGAAAACCATGGGAAAACCCGGGGAAAACCCTGGGAAACCCATGGGAAAACCATGGGAAAATGAGGTTTGAATCCATTAGGATGGGGTTTTCACCTACATTTTCGGAGCCAAAGATGGGACAGGTGTAACTCTTGGGTCTAACATGGTTTAAGTATAGAAAACTCTCATGGTAAATATGTAAGAAATATAAAAAGGTACCTTCGTAGATAAGGTAGGGGGAAAAAAGTGTAACTCTATAACGGGTTCAAGTATTATATGAAAAGAATGGAAAATGTAGGGAGAGAGAGAGAGAGCGAGAGAGAGAGAGATATATAATATGCACAATGTTTTCTATGCTTAAACAATCTTAAACACATGAAATTTGTGGTGTATCTCTACGTCTTGAAAGGGTTTTCTACAGTAAGAAATGACTATTGAAGGGTTTTTATGATTATTTCCCCAGTAAATCAGTTTCGGGCGGTTCCAAATGGGTTCAATTCAAATACGTTCAATTTCATTGATAGGTTCAATTCAAGTAGGTTCAATGAAGTTTAATGGGATTATATGTCATAATTAATAATATTCCACTAGATTGCCTTGATTATTATATATTGATGAATTAAATCCAAAAATATGTTGCAAGTCAACAAGATCAAATTATCAAATCAAATATGTTCCCACATGTCTATGCATAAAATTCACCTAGTGTGTTGGAAAAAATCGAACGATGTCAGCTGGGAAGGTGGCAGCAGAGCTTGGCACTGTGGACAGAGATGCTGGCAGACGGTATCCAGGTGTCCGAGTTGGGAGATTTGCCAAGCAGGAAGTGGTGGAAAACATGAACCAAATGGGCATGGGAATATCCATGGATTTCACCAACTGAGGACAAAAGCCCTCTGTCGTTGAGGATATCGCTTGCGCAAATCCCCACACGAAATGAAGGGGTTTTAGCTGCGAAACTCATTGAACTAAATTGTGGATTGTACAGCTAGCCACATTTGATCAGCGGATGGTAGCTAGGCTATGAGGAGATTATCATATCTTGTTAACTATGAAGTTGGTAAGAAACAATAAATCCGCATATCTCCTCATATCCGGATTTTTATGGTGTTTAACAATAAAATTGTGGGGACTACTGGGGAAATCATTGCGACATCATGGGGAAAACATGGGGAAAAACATGGGGATACGCTGGGGAGGATATCTCATATAGCATTGGGGGATACCCCAAAGACCGCCAAAGACCCAAAGATATGGCAATTTTAGTGGGGAACTGATGATTAATCATCAAATAGGATGAACTAGATTCACTCATATTCACTCATAAAAAAATGGGAGATAGTTGTGCCATGTTATGCCATGTTATGCTACCATTAGGGATTTACACCCATTTTTCTTTGGATTCTCATATCACATGTGCCATGTAACTTGGCCAAATGTTGGTACGTTTGTTTCCCCAGACACCGTCCGGTCATCACACGTGGCAATGGAACATCTCCCATTTAGAAATGATGTGCCCGTTTGAAATCACCATTTTCATTGGGGATTTCCCAGCCACGTTTACCACAGAATCCACTGAACCGCCGTTGTTGCCATTGTTTTCCTCGTATTTTTCCATGAAATCCTCATTTCTTGCTGTTCTACCCATGGGTTCCAAAGGCAAAGACATCTTGCCTGGCCGTCTTCATACAGGCAGATGCCATTGCTTTCGGCGCCATGCTCGATGTCGAGATGGGCAGTTGGCAGATCTCTTTGTGGCTCCTGAAGCAAATGGAAGAGCATCACATGAGGCGCAGCTGATGATGGCAGACAGGTAGAATATGATTACGGTCCTCCAGATGTTTAAAACAAACACCCTGAGAATAGCGATGTTGAAGTGGAAACCAATCTGAGAACCCTCTTTGGCAGTGTCTACGTTACTTTGGGCTACCAACATCATTCAGTGAATGAATTGTCCTGAGGTGCGAATTAAAATAATTGCCGAACATTAATTTCGGATCCTTCCCGTCTAAAAAATACAAAAATGTATATTGATAGCAGAACTTCTGGTTACTGGCTCTTCATTTTGGCCCATTATCATCTGGTAATTTAACGTAGCTATTGAAAATGACCATAGAAATAGTGGATTTTCCCATTAGAAATGGTGGATCTTTCCATAGTTATGTAAACGTTTACCAGAGGGTATCATCTTGAAGACATCTTTGCCATTTCAGGAAGCTCACACCATCCACCGGTGCAGGCCGGACGCCGTGGCGATGGCGGCGGTGTTGCGAAGCTGTGAGGGCAAGCAGCAGCTGCAGCTCTTGGAGATGCTACAAGATGAGGCCCAGCCTGCGCGCCCTGGGATGGGGGATGGGGAAGGGTGCTGGGGTTTGGAAAAGTATGGGTTTTGGGAGAGAATCCTCTTGACTTTGGGAGGTTACGAGATGTTTGCCTGTTTTCTTTTCAGGGATGTTTCGAGCTGCAAATGTGTTTCCGTAAACAGTTTTTTTTGCCTGATTCAAAGTCGTTGGTTGGGTCATGTTGGGTCGTTGTTCATCCTAAATCTCAAATCTACCCATTGATGTTTGTTTCCAAGACAGCTGCAGGGATGTCATCGAATCCAACTTCTGCTCAGCGCGGCGAAGAAAAAAACATATGTTGATGCTGTGCAATCATTGCTAGATGCCGTAGATGCCATGATGGGTACGAATCTTGTTTAAAATGGTGATTGAATGGGTGGTTGAATCGGGTTTTAATTGGCATTTATGGCTGTACATCCAATAATTCATGTCAAGCAGCAACACGTGCAGATTTGATCTAGAAATATCTAGAATGAAATTCATGTAATCGATTCTGGTGTGTGCAAACAAGAGATGGACACCACACAAATTCAATTTTGATTTGGAACCTGATCGTAAACAATGTGATTTTGAGGCGCCCTATTTTCAGACGAACCAATATCCCGTATTTGGATAGGTATTATAAACGGTATTATTAATGGTATTATATATATATAGCGATCAAGAATAACTGGGGTGCTTGATGGTATCTGCAAGTCAGATCAGAGTTGGGGATCTTTAGGGTCCATGGGAAACACGATGTCGACAGAAGCCGTACATTGGATGATTTCAAGGGAACCTGGGCCCCTGGGCTCAGCACGGATTCAGATATTGCAAGATCATCTTCTCAGACCCTCCAGTGTGAAAGGACCAGATGGCAAGATGATGTAAGATGTTGGTGCCAAGAGATGCCAAGAGATGGCAAGATGTTGGTTTTTCACTTTTCAGGATTTCTTCATGTTTCATCGGCTATTTAGTCGTTAAGTCGTTGTCGGCTACAACTTGGCACCAACTTGCTGGCGATGCCCGGGGCAGATGGTGCCAGAGGCGGGACCGCAGAATCGGTGAAGGTTTTGGGAGCGAACTGAAGTCCATGGCGACACGGATCATTTCTGAGTCACCATGTTCGCCATGTTCAGTGAATGTATTATTTATAATTTGTTTAATTGACTTTTATATGATTTGTTGATATTTGTTGTTCGCCTTGTTATCCTTAGACTTAAATAGATTTTATTTAGATCCACTTTCCAGCCATTTGTTACACAACCAGCCGTGCCCGCAATGCAGGCACCTGCCAAGGCTACATGGAGGAGGGATGGTTGCAGGGTGGTTGATTGGTGTTGACAGAAACAAACCACGAAAATATATGATGTGCCCAAGAAACATCGGAGATTTGATCAGGAAAACAACGTTGATGTTTTTTTTAAGCCAATGAATATGAGGACAGAACCCAGAAACCCTCAGGGACCCCTACTGGTGTGATTTTCATTCACCGTTTGGACATCAGATTCTGATGGCTTGAAGTCGCAAGAAACCCTTTGAATGGTGGCCCAGAGGGCCCAGAGCATGCTTAGCCAGAATCAGGGATTTTCTCCTCCTTGTTGCGCAGATATGATCATGATTCATAATATGAACATATAGTAAGTATAGGTTAAACTTAGATAAAAAACTATAAGTAGCACCAGTAGAACGACAATTACACTACTTTTGAATAGAACATACCCTCTGGTAAACTAACATAGCTATGGAAAATGGCCATGTATAGTGGATTTTCCCATTTATAGTGGAAAATTGCAATTTTCATCACTAACAATCGAACAGCACCACTGGAACAACCGTTGGCATGTCTTCCACAGGACATCATTGTTGGAGCTGCAGAGGATTCGGAGTTCCTTGGATCCGGTGACCATGTTTAGATGATGGCGACTTAATACGTTTACCCTCTGGTTATGTCAAAATAGCTATTGAAAATGGCCATAGAAATAGTGGATTTTCCCATTAAACATGGTGATTTTCCATAGCTATGTAAACGTTTACCAGAGGGTAGACATGTTTACCAAGATGATCCAAAAGTCTCGTCATGTCCAGGTGTTTGATATGTGTTTGATATGTGTTTGATATGTAACCCACACTTTTCGACATGTGTTGGGGGGTTCTAAAAACACCCCACATCCTGCGACAAGGTCAGGGAACTGGTCCTTCGCTGCGGCAATGTACTGCGGCCTGGGGCCTGAGGATGTGCGGCTGGGGTATGGGTTACCCTGTGGTAACATGGCTATGGAAAATGGCCCATTGTAGATGATTGTTCCCATTAAACATGGTGATTTTCCATAGCTGAAGGGTACCACCTGTAAAGAAAATGGAAGCGCAAAAGATCAAGTGTTTTTGTTGTTTTGTGGTTTCATGTCAAATCTTCTGCAGGGACGGCTTATGAAGGGATCGAAATTTTGTTTTTCTAGCAAGTGGTTCAAGGTCCAAGGGGAAATTCGGGGGAATCAATGCGAAGCCATAAATTGTATATGGCATATATGGCAGGTCCGTTTCCTTGTTTTCTTTCATTCCACCTGGTGAATAGATCAGATGTTGAAGCATGTCATGAGCAAATTCTCCAAGACTCCGCGTAAGGTCATTTCAGCTTGTGGCCGCGCACGCGCGTGCGCATCCTTGGTTGCCAACTTTCTGGCCAGCAATGGGGAGTCCATTGGGTGAAACCAAGCCGTATTCGTCAAGCCGGGGAGGCATTGGAAGAATATTTGGAAGGAAGTACCTACATTTGGATTTCAAGAAAACGTGTTTATTTGTTGTATGTTTTCTTTTTCTCCAGGGTGTGGAACAATTTACCCACACTTTATTTGATTCAGCTCTGATGTAGTATCAAACAGAGATCCGAGGGCATTGTATTTCTAGTCCTTAGCAGAAGCCTTGCAGGTGAATGACTAGTCAACATCTGTTGGTTCAGGAACCGTGAGTTTGACAACTATAAGATGAAAAAAGGGCAGATTGGTAGAGGAAAACCCAGAAAGACTCAGAATAAGCATCATTCCTTCACGTTTACAGTGTACAGAACAAGATAGAACAGCAGCTCTCAATTTTGGAGAGGTGAGGCTACAAGCTTCTAGACCAGTGTGGCATCTCCCTGTTCTAAAATTGCTTGGTAGTGAAATGCCCAAAATTCATGTGGTTCGCATCACTTTTTGCTGCTTCAATCCACTTTCCAGCTCCGTTTGAATTTGGGTTCTCCTTAAGCATGACCCAACCATCGGCGTCCCCCCAGGTCCGGCGAAGCCTTGAGGCTTCTACAAGGGATGCGCGAGGAGAGTCTGAAAAGAAAGAGGGGTAGAAAATGCACGGTCCCATGGTTGAAGAAAATTCCAGATGTTTGGCATTTGGCCACTTGGCCACTTTTCATGAACATCGCATCATGGAAAATGAACGGCCCTGTAACTTGATGTAAGTTGTTGCAAGACATTGGGATTTCACAAGAGAGGCTTTTAAAGCATCAACAAGTGGGGCAATTCGCATGATTTTTCTGTGCTGAATTGTCAGTTCCAACCTTTCCAACCTCTGTCCTGGCGTGGAGGTCATCGCCAGAATGGAATCATGTTGAATCGATGTAGTGTATATAATATATATACATATATATATATATTATCATATATACGTATAATTATATATATATATTATGTATGTATATGATATTTGTATATGTGTATATTTATAATATTATACCAAACTACCATGTGTCTTCCCGAAAATCTGGAGTCAACGCCGAGCACTCTTCATGTGGATCGTTCGCAGTGAATCCCAGCGCCAGCTGCCCAGGAGGGGCCAATGCCAGATGCCTTTTGTTGCAACAGCGTGATCAAGGTGCAGAAGCTGAACTGGTGTTTACAAAGTCAGATGTCCACAGTGTGTAGATTACATGTGTATGTATACGATATCTGATAATGTCTTATATATATAATTATATATATATACATATATTTGTTATGTGTAATATATATATATATGATATCGCCAGTTATTTGTGGGTTCTTAGCCATGTCTTCCCCAAGTCTATCCACATTCAGGGATTTCAGAAATAAACCATGGCTCGATGCTTCCATAGGCCTGCAGCAGCCTAAAGCAGCAGCTGCGGGTCTTCGAAGACATGCAAAGGCAGGGCCCTTCCCCGGATGTTGCCACGTCAGGGGAGCCCAGTCTCAGATGCGCCGCTGATTTGCTGATGACATTGGTGTTTCCAGTGATATAATCCAGTTGTTTGTAAGCTATCTTAAGCAAACCCAACAAAGTATTGTAGGGTTTAAAGCTGCCACACTAACCAGAGAGCTGTAATCCACATGTGTTGTTTGTGAGTTCAACGGAACATGAGTTGGGGACACATACTGTAAAGATTTCTGGTAACACGCCCATGGGTTCCTTCCTTTTTGTTCATATAGATATCTCCTTTAGGTTTAATTGTGGATTTGTTCATGATCGGTTCGGTGTTTGAATGCTATTTGAAGGGAGACGGGATTTAATCACTTATGTGTTTGTTAATTATGTTTGCATGTTCATTCGAGATGAACCAAAATGGCCAATTCCTCGTATTGTACATTCAATATGCAAATCCTGTATTGACATTGTTTTATTTTATTATACACTCACAGTTTTGGTTACTCATCTACTGTATGCATTATTAGATGTGTAATGATGTGTATATATATATATATATTACAATCTGAAAGATCTATGAACATACACCATTTATGCATCATTTCCTAAGGGAAACGATGACAATTTTGCTAAATTTGCGGGCATGTTGATATTCTTGGTGCGGATGACACCTCAAAGTCAAGTGGGTGATGGTGATACCCACATGATTTTGTTGATTTTGGAGGAAAAAAACGATGTTCAACTCTCAAAGGCCCATTAGGCAATCAGGGTATCAATTGTTCAGAAACATCTCAGAGACATCTCAATGTATACATACATATTTATATATATATATATTATAACATATATATATATATATTATAACATATATATATATGGTGATCGATCTAAAGGTCCTTGTAAGGAGTTTTAATTGCGAAAGCCGTGCATGTTATGTTGGAAACCCTCGCGAAAGTTTTTTTTTCGAGTTCGCGAAAAAAAAATATTTCGCGAAAGTTTCGCGAAAGTTTGGTATTATCATCATTATATGTAAAGGGCTGCCACCCACTGCGGCCCGGGGTCCGGCAGGAGAAGGGCACCAGAGAATGCGAGTAGCAGTAGCCAAGTTTTCAAAAGTGAGGCTTTGCGAGAGCCAAACACCAAGGCCCCTGGTCTTCGCTTTTCCTTCAGTGCACCCCCTGCTGATGGCCGGGGTCTGTGAATAGGGATATTTTCGCGAAAGTTATGCGAAAGAGCGGGCGAAAGTCGAAGTGCATGTTGAAGGGGGTGGGCCAGTAAACTTTGCAAAAAAAATCTGTCCTGAGAAGGGGTTCCGTGATGCTAGCTGCATGTTTAAAAGGCTACCAAGAAGTGATCCCTGATTCTCTGGAGTAATTTGGCAGGTGGTGAACGAATCTTCATAAGAGGTGTTGTTGGCCAACATGGGCCCCGCGAAAGATAAACATGGAGTTCGCGAAAGTTTCGCGAAAGTAAAATTTTTATTCGCGAAGAATGGCCGTTCCGGGATAAAGGAATTTTGATCAACAACCATATATATATATACTTTGTGGTTGATGGTTGAGCTGATTCTGTGTGTACGTGAAGCATGATACAACCCATGTTGCCAAGCACGTGTTGAGTTGCCAACCGGCTGGGCTAGCAACAAAAAAGGTTCTTCCCTATCCCAATGTTTGTTGATGATTGAGCTGGTTAGTATCACCACAATTTGTTTGTTCATATCTCTATCCGGGTAAATTATAACGACCTCACTGCGACCGAACCCTAGAATCATGGTTAATAAGGGAAATCATCCCCAAATGGCCTTAATTATCAGGTTCGTGAATTATTGTAATTTACCCAGCTCTATGTCTATGTGTGTTTAAGTCTTCTTCCCCATTGATATCCCTAACAGATAAAAAAAACAACCACCAAGCCGCAGTGATAGACCGAGGCATGGAGCGTTGATGACTGCTTTGGGTCGCGAACATCACTGGGTCGCCTGGCTGTGGCGTGGAATGGATGATGGATGGCAGATCTTACCAAAGCAGAGTTTGGAGATGCGTTGACGCTGTTTTGTTTGTTTAATATTCAGGTTCTTCTAATTGAGTCTAAAAAAAAGAAGTGTGGTCCAGTTTGGTGTTCAAAATTCAGTAGCTCAGCTCAACAGCTTACGGTTTCTTAGCATCAGAAATCAGAAGGATGATTGACTAGCTGAGCCAAGCCATGCCAAGCTCTTTTGGAAAATCCCAGGAGAAATGTGTGGCGATGCTGGAGGAGATGATCTCCCAGCACTTGGAATCGAATGTCATCGTGTGCGCTGACTTCACGTGTGGTGACCTCACTTGAATCATGGTTACCTGGTTAGGATTCGGGGAATCATTCGCAATAGTTAGCAGTTAGCCTTAATAATTTCAGGAGACGTGTTGACATTTGGCCTCGTGGTTTCATGCATGTTTCTCCATGTTTCCCAGGTTTCTGTCGATTTGTTCAAAATGATGTTGCGCCTATTTGTGATTTATGTGTGAATATGACCCTCTTATGTTGTGGTGTAGGGTGCGGTTTGGTGGGGTTGGGGTGAGGTGGGGTGGGATGTTAACATTCAGTTGAAGTTGCTTCCAATGTTTATGCTAGGGTGATGATGAGGTGAGAAAGTGCCAGCCCCAAAAAGCTGTGCTCTTCAGAGATGGAGCCTTGTCGTGGAAGGATTGCGCCTGAAGTCTGTTTCGGTCACCCATGGACGCCAAGAATTTTGTCGCAAAATTCAAAACGTCAAGTGCAGAAAGACAACCACGGCCGGCACACAGGTGCTGGACCGTTGGTGGCAAGATCTGAACCGGTATGTGCCTGCTAGCCTCCACAGCAACTTGATACAAAGTGGCTAAGCAGTTCCGTGCACGTGTCGCAACGTACACATACTCATACATGAGGCGCTGCCACTTGCGTAGCCACGCCAATTGACTTGCGGAGATTGTCAGTGTGGCATGAGACCGTATATGATGAGGCGAGGCAATGACCATATTACACCAAGGATCACCAAGGCTAAATAACAGCGCATGACCTTATTTCAGGTTTGTGAAATATTATCATTTAGCCAGATCCATGGGAATAATTGGCCACTCTTCATTCAATCCATGTGAAGTCTTTTTGCCCATGCTTTGCCCATGCATCTTCACAATGGCTTGCGCCTAGTTTTCAATCAATCTGGGTAGTCACTGTCACAGCTTGGGAGGATCGAGTTACATCTAGCATTTGTCTCTGAACCACTTTTTCTCCGCAAGTGTAATTTTCGAAGTGTGCTCCCGGGTACAAAATCATCATGGGATATAACGAGTTTTTCTTTGATCTCGGTGTTCTTTCCTTTCCCGCAGGTATGGGGCAGCCATTTCTGCTTGTGACAAGGCAGTTACATTCGTGGCTGAAATGTCTCGCTTTGCAGCACTTGGCTTGTGGGATGAAACACAAGCACTAGCGGTTTGCACTGCTCATTGGCCAGATACCCCAGGGATCCCCAGGGTAAACTAACATAGCTGTGGAAAACCCACCAGTTATAGATTACTGTCCCAGAGAAACAACGGATTAAATTTTACACATCTATATTATTCTGGGGTGCCCATCATTGCTATTTCAAGATTGAAACCACCCACCAGAATCATACACCTTCTCCAAATGTCAAGTTTGGTCAGGCCTCGCAGTGGCAAAATGCCGTGGCACTGCTGAGGAATTTGTTGGGAAGACTCAGTGGCACTCACGAGATCCCCAGGACTTGGTTGAAGGGACACACTCCGCAGGATTTCGCAGGGAAATTCCATGTTTAATTGCAACAAAACATGTATATACCAATCCATTGATAGGTTGATTGAAGAGAATGTCAAGTGAGATAGAAACCAAAACTGAGAGTGTTGTGACTAGCACTGGCCGATTGGATCTGTGGCTATGTGTTAACCCCCATTTCGGAATTGCCACACCCAGACCAGCCACCTGACAAATCATGTTTCTGAACTTCAAAACGGACCACCACCCCGTCACATCAGCAACATACAGTAATTGTCCGATAATTACCTCTGTTTTGAGCAGGTGCATGTCAAATTTCATGTTGATTTTTCTTGTCTGGGAGCCAAGCGTACATGTTTAAAGAAACAAAAGAGTGTATATGTATATATAATTATATATATATATGTATATATACACTGTGGGGGTACGCCCCATGGGTTACCGCAAAACTGCCTGTTTTGAGGCCCTGGTTTTGGAACCTCATTTTGATCAAATACTGGAGAAGGCCCATGTTTGCGCGTCTGCTTTTTCTTGCCTTTTTAGGACCAAAATCGGACCCCTTCTTTGGAATATATATATATATATTTAAATACCAATATAAATAAATAAGTAAATTAAAAAAATATATATATATATATAAATACCATCAATATATTGTTTGGCTCCAATTTCCATAGCCCCAGGCCTGCCTCCAAGCCTGCCTCGAGGTGTTTTGTTCCAAATTTCGATAGCCTCGCGACCCTGGAGGCGCGTTTCAAGGCCTGCCTCCAGGCTTGCCTCGCTGCCTCATCATTAAAGATTTGTTTGGTTTAAGTTTTAAGTTTTGTGGCCCTGAGGCCCTTGAGACTTGCCTTGGGGCCTGCCTCCGACCTTCTCATCCTTGCAAACTTTTTGTTTTGCTGCAGTTTCCATAGCCTTGAGGCTCGATGCCTGCCTCAAGGCCGTCCCTTTGCGCCAGCTGCGGCCTAAATTTCTAGCAAGGCACCAAAGTTCCCAACTACTTCAAGTTCAGCCCTGCTGGGACTCCAACAATAGTATTATATAGTTTCGATTCCCCGTGAGCCTCGCTTTGTCCTTGTGCCAATATGTTTTGCGTCCAAGGCGTGGCCTTGGACAGGCCTCGCTGAGCCTCGAAGTGACTCGACGCGCCTCGATTGCAGGCTTTAGAAAGCTCGCTTTCAACACATGGGACATCTTTCATCAACATCACAACAGCAAGGGAAAGATTGTCATGGCATCTGCCCATGGAATTGGTATCTTTTTTGGCGACGGATGTAGGGCCTCCCTTGTATGGGCTTTGCATGGAAAGAGGAAAAGCTACCTGGCGATTCTGCTCCGGATCATATGCAGCCCGCAGGTGTTTGACAAAGCAACCATTTCATATGTTGCATCTTCCAAAAAGATGATGCTTGCAGCGAACTCTGCCAACCATGGAGACAATAAAGTAGCAGGAAGCGGCGCGGGCGCAATATTTGATCAAAATGAGGTTCCAAAACCAGGGCCTCAAAACAGGCAGTTTTGCGGCAACCCATGGGGCGTACCCCCACAGTGTATATATATATATAGTCAACACAAATCTGACAAATCTGACCCACATCCCCGCTGCGGGCATCCCCGTTGTGGGCAAAGGCATGACGAGCGTCACGCAGCTTCGCTGGTTTGCTGCTCTGCTGTGAGGCCCTTGGAAAACTTGAATTCTGCAGCTGCTTCGGTTGGTTTCCACTTAGCGCGTTTCGAAACAACAACTACGAACGTATCTCAAATTGAATTTAAGGCATTTACCTTTGATTCGGGGCGCGAAAATGAATCAGGGCGCCAAAATGAATTGTTGTGACAGGTTTTTTTTGACGGAAATGGTGAAACTTACATGAAATGCTGAGAAGCACAAAATCTGCTGAAAAGCATGTTTTGTTGTGACATGTCTAATTTTGTTTGATGGAAATGGCGAAACTTACATGAAATGCTGAGAAGCACAAAATCTGCTGAAAAGCATGTTTTGTTGTGACATGTCTATTTTTTTTGATGGAAATGGCGAAACTTACATGAAATGCTGAGAAGCACAAAATCTGCTGAAAAGCATGTTTTGTTGTGACATGTCTATTTTTTTTTAAACGGAAATGGTGAAACTTACATGAAATGCTGAGAAGCACAAAATCTGCGGAAAAACATGTTTTGTTGTGACATGTCTTTTTTTGATGGAAATGGCGAAACTTACATGAAATGCTGAGAAGCAGGTCATGCTGAGAAGCAAAAAATATTTGCTGAAAAGCATGTTTTGTTGTGACATGTCTAATTTTTTTGATGGAAAAAACTTAAATTATTGATGTTTGATTGGGGAACATTCAAGAAACACCCAAACTGGAACTAAAAGGTATGGTCGATTTATTTTTTGTATATATTTACATGACACCATGGAAACGTTTTTTGGTAGTTTTCTTTTGTGCTGATAAGCAATATTTTGCTGAGAAGCAATTACTGTGCTGAGAAGCACTGAAAAACAAACCTAAATCGAAATGCCATGAGTACCATTTGTCCAATCACTCAATGTCACCAGCCCCAGGTATGTTGAACAAAAACTTCAAGATTTGTTTCAACTGTAGATTTAATTTACATGACATGAATCCATGTAGGATCCAATCATGCAACTATTGAATATTATATAGTTAAATGGGGCCTTCTTAGTATCTGTCTTGTCAGGAACCTTTCAGGCACTGTCCATCTTCGAGCACTTCAAGATCTTCAGGTCTCACTGTGTTGAAAAACACGATGCTGAAAAGCATCAGAGACCGAGTTGAAAAACTCTTTCCAGCCGAAAGGCTGTGTGATAGTGCTGAAAAGCACAGGTGCTGAAAAGCACCCTCGTCGCACAGGGCGACAGGCTGGGAGTTTCACCTGGCATCCCAGTGCCAGCCTTCTTTTTTGTAAACGGCTGACGCCAAGGTCAGTCCCTCCAAGTAAACTTGCCATGCAAGCAGTGTTCCTTGTGAAGTCTCATCCAGTATGAGTGGGATGTCGGGTGCCCTTCTCACTGCAGCCAGTGTCCATCGGCCCATTTGGGTGGGGGCGGCCTTAAGTGGACCCTCCCGGCACTGTCTCTGTGGGTCGGAAAATCTCGTCTCTCCAGGATACGGTGGGATGCACCAAGGGAGTAACTGGTTGTCATGGGGAGTTGAAGGAGGATACTAGAAAAGGGGATGGGTGCAGCCCCCTGCCAGGTTGAAGACGCATACACATACTGCATGGACTCACCAACATACTGGCACATGCGTGCATACATATCTGCGGCAACTTTTCAATCAGTTGGCAACTTTTTCATCACAAAACCTCTCCCAGAAGAGATCGAATGATTTGCGATGAACTTGACTGAGGTTCATCGCAAATCAGCTGGCAACTTTTCAACCCCAGCCAGTGATTTGTGATGAACTTCGGGCAGGCTCATCACAAATCAGCTGGCAACTTGTTAATCCCAGCCAGTGATTTGTGATGAACTTCAGTCAGGTTCATCACAAATCAGCTGGCAACTTGTTAATCCCAGCCAGTGATTTGTGATGAACTTCAGTCAGGTTCATCACAAA